TTGGACGCTCCCATTCCAAATTTTCAAATAGAGCGTGAGTTTTTTATTAGAAAAAAGTTTTCAACATGCTCGGAGCACCCTTCTGACCAATTTTTCAAGTTAAAGGCAGGCACTTCGGGGCGTTGGGCCGTCCACTCTTACGCTCCGCAGTTCATCGCCTCTCCTACATTTGGGCCGCCCCGCATTTTAAATCTTCACAATGAAGCCTGTGGTTTTTAAATGAATAACGTTGATCAGCATGTCCGAGCACCTTGTGAAAACTTCAGGTTCGAGGAGAATCTCAATATCAAGGTTTGATGTACAGTGTTCATGCATTCATACAGAGGTGTCCCGCCTGTTGTTCCACCTCTTCCTCCTCCCGCATCGCGCTCTTTACTCCCATTCTCAACTGTTGCCCCAATCAAGTATGCAACTTCACCACCCGCGAACGATGCCGGCTTCTTCAGCATATCGATCCTGCACTTGTCTTGATCAGGATGTCTTTGACTGAATATGAAGTCCATAAGCGTGTGCGCTCTTCTACAACACACGAGTCTCCAGCACAACACACGAGTCTCTTGACACAACACGCTCTTGCACACTCGTCGACCACAATCAAACGTAACAGCATTAAATTCCAGCAGTTGCCATTAACAAGGTCTTCATTATGCTCAAACGGTCTTCTTTACTGGCGGCTTGCCTTGCAGCCTTGTTCACGTGAACAGCAGATAGCCATTGTATGGAACCAGCTTTATTTACGTGTAGCACCTTGCTTTGATACATACGCATTCCAATGGATTATCCCATATCAGCTATCAAGTACACCCGCAATACAAGCAACCTTCGCCTGTTGAGCTGCGATGAAAATGGGTATGAGAGATGGATCAAAAGCAGGATGGGAAAGGATGCATAATATCAGTGGTCTATAGAGGCTCTTTATTATTGATCTTGCAATGTTTATGATGGATGGATGCATCAACTCCAGTTGCGGGAATTCTTGGAATACTGCTTTGGTTATTTGATGCGTCATCAGCAGGAGGGATGGATCGCAATCACAAGGATGCAGCTGAGGATGATGATGGATTGGTGGAATGGCCATTGTCGAATGTGTTTTACTGCCATGGATATTTGGAATACTCGACTCAATGCGTGCAGCAGCTATTTTTGGCAATCGTGGATGAGGGATGTCTATGACCGCAGCAACCAAGAATAGCATGAGCACCATTACCCCTGTTGACTCTATGTGATTCACCTGTACCTTATTCGGAGTTGAAAATGCTGTGCCTTTATAACATTTATTTGATAAACGCCACGCTACATTCGCTATTCTTCAACTTTTTCATTGAATGAAAATTAGCGGATTCAAGATAATGCTTAGAAGGGTATCATGCTATTGGCTCACATGTGTAAGATGTGGATCACTTGGATTTGGCTTCTGGATTGAAGGGAGGTTGGATGTTATCTCATGGTCTCGAGATGCTTTTGCCTTAATCAACTACGTTCAAGAAAGAGTGAGCGGGTGTGATACGATATGACATGAGTGCATGAACATACCACGGCACCTTTAACAACTTTCAGCTAACGCTACATGTCATGCGGCCTTGCGCCGAAATGCGCCATGCTCCATGCAGTCTATCATAGGCGGACCTCGCTATATATAGACATGCGGGGAAGGATCCATCATGCCTGCCCGTATGGAATCTCTTTCGTGTTAAGCATGATATGCTCATCGTCAAAGATGATCAAAGGATCTGAAAGTACCTTGTGTGTGAAAAATGTGTGAAGCTTAAAATGTAAATTCCTTTTACTTGTCATCATCCATCCTACACACAGTATCATGATGGTGGTAATAATGATCTATTCGCACCAGTCAATTGCAGCAGCGTGCTGATCTCATTTTATTGACTCTCTTTAAGACTCTGGAATGTTTCAAACCGTAACCACTACCATGCTAATAGCTACATAATACAATAATGGATACCATCATCCTTTGACCAAGGTTCAATCATCCAATTCTTTACAGTGTTGCTTCCATGCTTGGAATCTCGCTGAAACAAAGAATGACCATGATTGGATAACAAGTTATTCGCCCGAAAGTGTTCTTGATCTTGTCACTGTGTCCTTGTTGCTATAGAAAGATAGATCCAGCCACGCTGTGCCTTGTAAAAATACTTACCACTTTCTTGTTGTTTGATACACCTCCATCATCCATCATTGCCCAGAATTCCTTGGTGAATTGCGTTATGCCGTGCTCGATATTGCTTTTGCCGACCCATTACTACCAGTAGTAGCATCCATGTAAACGCACTTCTTGTGATCGTTGCCATGGGATCATCCAATGTAATAAGTCGAAGTATAAGATACGCCTTGTACCATTTCCTTTTGCCTTGTATCTTATGAACTAGAATGAACGGTATCTTGTTATCATTATGGCCGTACGATAAAAGCAGGAAGAAGTGTTTGCACATACCTATAGTGTTGCTTCACTCATGGTTGGATCGCAATACTCTCTTGGTCAATGAGGAGCCAACATGGTCACTGATCCTTGTTTGACACGCTCCACGGTTGTTTCGTTTCACCGTTGACGTTGCTGTTGTTGCGATGGAAACGGCATCAGTGAGTGTATGGAGGAGTGGTCGTTGAGTTGGTGCTGTGTAAAAGAGGAAACGCCGCCATGGATACCAACCTGCTATCTATTCAAATACAGCAGCCATGGATACATAAAAGAGACCCAATTCATAAAATCTTTTACCTATATCGAAAAGGTGATACACATGAATGACTGCATACTTTTGCTGCAATGATGCTATGCTTCAAGTTGTACCTTACACAAAGGGATCCATTGAGTGTCTCCGATTGATATCAGCTAAAACTCCACCACTGCTTGCTGTTGACGATCCGTGCACGCATTAGTACCTTCCCCATATAGCAATGTCGCAAGGTACAAGAAGTGTGTCTTTATGTATGTCTTTTATCGTGAACATGGTGTAAAGAAGGCAATGACTGCTGCAACCCATATATGGAATTTTGGTGTCACGCTCCTTCAGCCGCAGCAACCATCCGCAGCAACGGCTATAAAAGAACCGCCTTTTTCCTTTTCTTTTCTTTACCCTTCCTTTCCAACGAGGTTTTGGCGCGTCAAGGCCCGGCACCTGATTTGAGGGATAGTTGTAGGGGGCTCCAACTATTTCTCTCAGTCTTCAAAAAAGGTAAAAGCGGTGTCTCCGGCACTGCACCTTGTCGACCTGGAATTGGTGCCCACAGGTAGAGGTGGGGATGGTTGAGCAGCGACCTTCTCGTGGTCATCCCTGTGAGTACTTGGTCTTTTGACTCGAGGAAACCAACAGCTGCTTCTTTATAGTATTAGTATTAGTATCATCATAAATAAACTTGTCGCTTTTAAATACACATACTCTTGTCTTCACACATGTTCTAAAACGCGTTGCCAAAGCAACAGTTGACTGATGGTTGCTGTGACCTTGGTTGCCAAAGTAGCCCTTGACGAATCTCTGTGATCTAAAGATCAAGTAAGGCGAAGCTCACGCCGATTAGATTCATGGGCATTGGTGTTCTAGTGTGTTGGTGTCGGCTGTTGCTGTGCGTTGTGCTTGTTTGCTTGTGATTCTCCCTTTCCAAAGCCTGTATACTTTTAGCTACATAGATAAGCTCGACACAATAAAAGCATGCCACCTATGTTACTACTACTAGCTTTAATCAAGGACGCGATGGGATCAGGAATAAGAGGTTGCTTGAATATGGTTTTTATATACGCTTTTGGGTACGCTTTCTTGTGTGCTAGCTGTATGATCGAAAAGACCTTTGGTCAGGCAACGTAACTTTTGGGTACATAAACGCTTTCGTGTACGCTGACTGTTGTTGGAATAGTACTAACCCTTATGCAATCTTGAGAAAGTACAAGTGAGTTCCTTATGATGGGAAGGTGATTGGTATGCGTATGCAAAGTAGGACCTCGGTATTCGTTAATAGGAGCATCGAGCATACTAGAAAAAGGATGCATGGGACCTGGTAGTAAGGTAATGGTTGTTGTTGTTGGGCCATGTCATGTATAAATGGAGGACATCTTTTGCAATACAGTACGTGATGGATGCTAATGTGTTAGGGAAAATGGCTTTTGGATTGTGTATTTGGGTGCATGTTCGTGCGTAGAGGGAATGGATTGATGAAGGATGTGGGGTGACTGAATCAGCTCGGTCTAAAAAGGAGCTCTTCGCATTAAGGAATTTCTAACATGATGACAAGCAGCTCCACGACTTGACAACCAACGCTTCTCTTTTCACACTCTCTTTTTAACGCTTTCTCGGTGTCCCATCAAGGTAATGTATAAGAAAAGATGTTCTTGTTTTGAATATCCATATGTAGGCAACAAGGAGTGCAGTGGGAGGTTGTAGCATTGATTGATGTCGCCGTCGCTCTTCGTTTCATTGTTAGGCCCCTCTACACTCGGCGTAACGGGTACATCCAAAGCCCCAAATCGTAGCAGAACTTTTTTTATTGATTTCTGCCTCCTTGTATAGACGACAAGATCGATTTCAAGACGTTGGTTGCTTATATAAGTTTTGACACGATAATGACTACTACACCATGGCTTCGCTTTCCCGTAACCTACAATAAAGGTCTTTATGTATATGAAAAAGGCAGGTGCAATGAAACAAAGGAAATGCGGTTTATTGTTTGTCCGTGCTAGTAATGAATAATGCTATGATATTGAATTAAGTTCGGGTCACGTCGTGCAACGTATGGGCATTTGCAGCTTTGATATCAGTGATAGGCTGGTTGATGAAAGAGATTTTAGGAAACGGGGGATCAACCTGTCAAATGAGTGATGTAGTGTCAAGTATAGCTTGTCATATTATTAGCAGTAGACTAGAGAATGAAACTAGCAGCAATTAGGGTGCTATTTCTGCTGTTGTAAAGCTCAGCCCAATGCAGGTGAAGCCTTACCTTGTATTCTTTTTTTCTACTCCGTTAACAACAGTCTGCCAATTCCTTTGTTCCCATCAATGCATCGAGAGCTGGGAGGAGGCGATGAGGAAACGACTTTTCGGCGTCAGAGTATAACCAATAACAACAACAGCAACAGCGGCTTTGCATCACCATCGCGTCCCTTTGTTTCAACGCATAATCGCTTCTCTACAACCATGCCGCATCGGATAAAGCGCTTCATCAGTCAGCGACCTACGGCAATATGGTGGACCGTGGTTGCCATGCTATTACTGTTTCTTGTCATGCGTATGCCTTCATCGTTACCACGGCCACAGAAGCCCCGTAAGGAGGTGCTATTTACCCACGACCTAGTTGAATATCAAGACACCAGTGAAATCACGGATTATGTACTGCTGGACAGGCTGCTAAAAGGGGATCAAGGTAAATAAAGGATACGGCTTTGCTTGAAGGTTGCTTTTCTTTGACAAAAATGCACTATTAGACCATCCGATTCAGTTCAACCGACAAGAGCGAACGCCACATTGGGTTAGCAATACTGGGAAGGCATCATTTGCAAAGCAATTGCAGCAGCAACATCGACGTGGACATCGAGTGGATGAATTGGAGAAACTTACGCGGGACGTCAAGTTGCCGTATGTGGATGAACAAACGAGCACAGTGTCAGTGACAGCGATTGTGTATTATGGCAGCAGTGGACAAGCATTGGATGCCCAATTACAAGCCGTGTTTTCTCAAAGTGTGGTGCCTCAAGATGTATGGATTGTATGCACACCAGCAACACGATCCGAGGTGAAGAGCAAAGCTGTTGCCTATGAGAACAACAAGCGACTTCATATCATGGCATGGGATCCTGTTGAATGGCTACAGATTGCTGCACGTGCACCTGGCGAGTTCATTTGGATCATTGACCCCCATATTGCACCTGGAAAGCGATACCTCGAGCATGTTTTACGATTAGCGCACACCGATGCTTATCGAAGCGCGTTGCTCGGCACACATGCAATGACGTTTCATCAACAACCCGATACCACCCATTTGGAATGTGCAGCAGACGTTGTTGATAATGGCGTACGACCCACTACGACACATGCTGTGGATATGATTAGCGACCTTTGGTTAATACGACGAGCTTGGTTGGCACATGTCAAGACACCCTTTGCTTTGCATTATGATCCCGATTTATTCGGTTATGCACTTTGCAGGAGTCTACATACACATGCTGGTATCCCATCAATCATGATCCCATCCAATTCACATGATGACTCTTTGCGTGTACAACGACTTGCTGGGGGTGATATGCATGCTACAAGAACCCGTTTATGCCAACAAGTACAACAACATGTAAGACAAGCACAAAAGGAAGGAACGGCTTGGCAAGAAGATATGGTCGCTCCAACTGAGAATGATGCATCAATTGTCTTTGTGGTGGATGGCGTACAACAACTTCGGCAAATCCAATCGCTATTATGTCGCTTCGTACACAACAACCAAAGAACCTTTGATATCCATATGGCAACAACGGATAGTTATCAAGGTTTATCAGCCACTCACCTCCACGACAAATTGCATGAATATGATCCTGAATGTGCAGCAAGCATCATGGTGCATGATCTCAATATGGGTTACGCGCGTCATCTTGGTCTAGTGGCAGGAAAGGATACCACCACTTTTATGAATCAGACTCCATACGAGGTAGCACGACTTGTATCAGTTTTACAACCACGCCTTGTAATCCATTTGACTGGCAAGGGTCCTATGGCACGAGCTGTGGAGCTTGCACGTGATCTCAGCAAGACGACAACTATCAGCTTACCAGCACGTGATGTCCAACATGTATTATGGGCTGCTGATTTGCCATTGCAGGCATTGGAACGTAAGCATTGATTAATAGGAGGGTGATGTGATTGTTGATAGGTTTCCTAATGGAAGATTTGTTAATTGTGTAGAATGGAACAGCTTTTCAGTGAAGCTTGTGATTGTGACGGATCGACGACCGCATACTCTAGCACGCTTATTACGTTCAGCTGCCCGTGCACACTACTTTGGTGATACTGTGGACGTATCGGTGGTCATGGAGCAAACAAGTGATCGTGTGACACAAACATTCGTGAGTAGTGTACCATGGCCACATGGGACAAAGGACGTGCGTCACCGGATTACACGTGTGAACGAGATGCCTGTGCACGTTGAAGCTTGGTATCCAGCAGGGGATCATGAGTATGGCATATTGTTGGATGACACTGTGGAGCTTTCACCACTATTTTATGCATGGGCGAAGTATGCTATTCTACGCTATCGTTATGCCTCCGACAATCCCAAGGATGCTGGTCAATTATTGGGCGTCAGCTTATATGCTCCAAGATTAGCTGAAAATGATGCAACACAAGGACGGCAGCTTTTTGATCCATCTCAAGTATTGATGCATGCAGGATTAGATCCAAAGTCAGCATATACAATGCAAGCGGTACCACCAGGACATTCAGGCACCCTCTATTTCCCTGAACATTGGCGAGAGTTCCATGATTACATCAGTGCTCGTGTTGCTGATATGAAACGCAAGAAGCTGCAAAATATTCAAGTACCCAATGCGCGTTCAAGTCAATGGGAGAACTCATGGCGGCGTTATATGGATGAGCTTTTATATATGCGTGGCTATGTTATTCTTTATCCCAATATTCCCAATGGTGCAAGTTTATCCACTTTACATCTCGACCTTGGTTCAAGTCCACTAGCAAGCTATGCTCATGCTGCTTCTCTTTTCCGAGTGCCTCTCTTGGGTGATTCTGATGATGAAGCAGTATTCGAATTACCACGTTGGCATCAGCTCCCAGTGCTGGACATGTGGGGTCAAGTAAGATCATTAGATTCATTAGTGGATGTGGGTACACAGCTGCAGCGGCAGGTGTCAGCTTGTACGCCACTCGCGCTTAATCAGCATATGCACGATCCATCCGACATGCTGTGTCCACCCGCTCGGCTTGTTGAAATACCTGTTCCTGTCGAACAACAATTACAAAACCCTCAACCTCCTCCGGATTATCCTACTCGCACTGTCATTGTTCCGGCTGATAGTGGTTCGGAGCCAACATCTGTTTAGATTACCCATATCAATCATCATCACACACAACACACAATAACAACAACACTTAATAAACGCCAAACATCTCATGATTCTTTTTCTTTCTCTCTCTTTTCCTTTTCCCTTTTCTCTTTCTTTGTCCTGGAGACTATTATCATCACTTTCACTACTTTTATGCTGTTACCATGGACGAGTTCCATCACCATCCTCTCCTTGACGACGACGAAGATGATGAACAGCCTTCTTCTTCATATCCACAACAACAATCAGACAATGAACAGCAAGATACCACCACAATAAAACAATCTCCTTCTTCTTCTTCGCCACAACAACAGCAACAACAACAACAACAACAACTATCCACGTCTCAAAAACGACAACCCCTAATCAACAAGTTCCCTGCATTGCACAATGAAAAGTATCCTTCTCAATTGAGTCGCGATCTACTATCGACCAACAACTTTGATCGCAATCTCACTGTGGAGAAAGCGCGCTTTGAACCACCACAACTTATCTCTCCCACAACAAGTGGTACTTCACCCACGACGATCCCTTCACCTTCACCTCTTCCACCACCTCTTGGATCCGAGGACCCTTTTTCGATACAATCACCTTTAAATCATGGAGTTCCGGATGAATCGATATTATCATCATCAGCTGAGGGCCGGTATCCAGCTACATTTTCATCCGCATCTACCACGGGAGGTGGTGGTGGTGGTGGTGGTGGATACTATCCCAGTATGACTGATATGGGTAGTGAGGTAGGTTCAGCATATACTTTTGAGAGCGTGAATGTAAAAAGTGCCACTGACATGCATCTATATTAGAGTGACCGTAACAAAAGTCGAAGATTGAGTAACACCAAGAAACGGCGACGTCCTCCGCCCATGCATGGTAGTGCTAGTCCTTCTGAAGTGTTTCATCGTAACCTGATTGATGCCGTTTATAATGTGGAAGGTAACGTTTATGAAGGAGAGATACATGAAGGAGTTCATTCTTTAACAAAGAGAGGGAATAGATTCGGATGAAAATGAACGCTATGTTTATCCATACGACAATGCCACACGATCAACAAGTGGGGTACCTGAACGCCCGTTCCTGTACCGTATTCATACGATGCCAACTCAACATAACAAGAACCCTTGGCTCAACAATAATTGGCTTCCACCCGAGCATCGTCCCAAATTAAGAAACCATGTGATTGACCATCCATATCATCATCACCATCATCGCTCTTCAAAGCATCATCATGATCATCCTACCGCTTACCTTTCGAGACATCACCATCATCATCATCATTCACCTCGGCGTAATCGTATCAATATATACAACAATCGTGATGGAGGATACACCAGTGATGATGATGAAGCTTTACCTTTGTTACGTGTGGGTCGACAATCACGATCATCTTCCAAACGTCAATCATGGTGGTATGTAAACAAGTTGGGGAGGGGTGTTCAACAAGAAGAGATGGATAATAACAATGATCATTTTTATAGTAGGAGATGGTGTATCAATCTATCACTTGGGTTCCTGGTCGCTATTCTATTTTTCTTTTTGGTAACGGTGTATCGTGCCACACCCCTGACTGACATGTCTGTGGAACTGGGCCGGGTGCTTGCTTCCGATAAAGAGCTTATCTTTGATTTGCAAGTACATGCCAACAACTGGAATTGGTGGACCGTACGCATCGCTCAATCGGATATTGCTGTATTCGCCTTTAGCTCGCTTGTTCCCCTTGACAACGCCATCAACAGCAGCAGCAGCAGCAACAATAACAACAACACCCTCACCATCACAGCTGATCCTGCAGAATACCTTGGAAGCTTTTATCATTTTGATGAACCTCTTTCCTTTCCACCCACGTTTATGACAGGCAACCCATCCACAGCCATCTCACAAATTCGCATCAAATCACCCGGTGCTGATAAGAGTGGTGCTGAACGGTGGTCACGTCTCATACGTTATCCTTATGGCCTCGTCACTCGTGGCATCCTCAAATATACCTCGATACCCTATGTTGCCTTATACCCACAATCCACTGCCATTTGTAATGTCGCTCACGTTGATCCTACTACTGGCACCGTTTCTGATAAGAAACCCGATGAAGCTTATTGTCCTAGAGATCCTGACCCATCATCATCATCACTTGCATAGATTGATATCTTTCCTCCTCCACCCATTGCATATAAAATAAACCTCATTGAATCTATCATTGGCGACTTGGATAGTATTTCGTGGAACGAGTACACCATCAAGTGACTTTCGATAGTGTTGTTTGATTATCTCAGGTCCTGATTTATGCATGAAGAATCAACCACATCAAGGCTCTTTAGTGGAAGTGGCCACAGCAATCTATCACCTCTTCGCCATTCCCAACAAGCTTTGTTTATACGAGCACAGAAATACTCACGCCCACCATGTGCATGTATAAGAATGTTGTCGCGCATCATTTTACTCCCACACATCTCTTTCTTCCATCATGTCGCTTTTTGATTGCTGACACCTTCAAAGCCCAAGTTGACGTGAGTATCGTGCTGGATGATCACAGTTTGCAAGTGATCCATGTACTAATCTTTGGAATGAACTTTAGTGTTCCTCCATCATTGTTGTGGTGTTCATCTATTCGACTCTTTTATGGAGGTAAGACCTAATAATCTTCTTGCTTGATGAATCACGTACTCACATTCCTTTTGATGTAGCTGCCTTCCAAGATGCATATGCAAAGTTGGATTAGGTTGCAGGTTTTGCTGCAGCCCGCATCAATCTGATAGGGCGGCTTCCCTTTTCTTATATTGTGACCCACCCATTATTGTCGATGCAACAAGTCTCGGGCGGGGACTTCATGACAAGGAATCATCCCATTGCATCAACACTTGTAAGGGACACAAAAACATACCGATCGTTGTCATATTCTGTTGTCAAAAGGACTTTTCGCGATCTCTGCTCGACAGAGTCAGCAATCATTAAAAAAGTAAGCTATGGCTTGTATACCTTCTCCCCCCCAGCAACCACTTTGCCTATAGTATCATCCTTTTGACAGCTACTAGTATCCATTCCTTTAGTTGCTACCGCAAACTGCTTTGGTTGTTGAGGGCGCTTGGTGTTGGTAGTTGAATCAATTCTCAAAGGCAAAGTTGGCGACATCAACGTACACTCCAAAGAACGAGCACTCGAATTCAAGCCCTCAGTGTTGCGTGTGGGTCGATGGAGAACCAATTCGGCAAATGTATCAGATTCAGTGGGACTCCAATAGAACTCGTGGTGGAGAGAGTTATGCAGCTGGTGGCCATCTCTACAGTACGTATGATGAGAATATCCTACGGAAGTACGATTATATGCTGCATCAAGATCAAGGCGACCGGGAAGTAACACCATCACTGCAAAAAACCAAGAGCTAACTTCTTTCTTAATAGGGTAACACCCATGGACGAACCAATTGACATCCAATTAGAAGAAGTCGAATCGGGATTATCAAAGCATAAAAGCGACCACGACGGATCTTTGGGGTCTCTCGTTTGTGGAAAATTACAAAAAGAATCATCACTTCCATAGATTGATCTCCTTCATCCATTGCATACAAAATAAACTTTTTTACTGGAATTCCTTAAAAGTAGTTTCTCCTGCCTTGGTCTTGATCTCAACTAAACTACCGTTGGTCACTTGGATGTCACCCGTAGTATACGCATGCAATTGCCTATGGAATATGGGTTGAGTCTTCGATTTTGAAAAATGAATCATTGCATTGACTTACTTGGCTATTGTCTCAAGAGGTGTCCATGAAGAGAAATCGGCACTGGGCATACCTTGTCTATTGCCAGGCGTATCCAAGGTGACGCTACAAGGCAACGCCTCATGAATAAGCATCCATCATACCTGATCCACCCTCATATCAATTGAACTTACGGGCAAAGACCAATCACTTTGGATGCATCAGGAAGACCACCTCCTTTAGCAGCAAGATCCTTGACAAGATGATGAACGGCAGCCTTGGCGATACCATAACCAATCATACCTGATATTACATCCACCATTGAGTAATCTCTTGCTTGTTTTATCCCACACAATACTAACCAGGAGTAGCGCCTTCTGCTGCTGGAAGAGCACCTGTAAGAACCAAAAGACCATTGCTAAATATATAAACTATGAGTATTCCTTTTGTGCATCGTCCCTGTGTTGTTCCTTACCTATCCAAATGACGCGAAGCAAGTTGGGCAGAGACTAAGGATGACTGCACCGATTGTTTCCACATGAGATCAGCGCTGTTGATAAAGTCTATAGTACATTAGACACAATACAAGGCTTTGTCATATATGCTTTGCACGCGTACCTGGGCTTGCTGCGTTTCCACCAGCCCATCCACCAGCAACACAAAACAGAGCTTTGAGCTTTTGACCTTGAAGCACATTGGTGATAGACGATTCAATTTGGGATGCTTGTTCTGGCAATGGCGCCTTGGCATTGACGAGCATATTGTGTTGTGCTGCTGCATTTTCTACCAGGTCAATGTTGGTGACAGACTATGTTGGCATGAGCACACAAGAACGTTGTACGTGGGACGCAATGTGTTGTATGCTTACAAAGCCGCGTTCTTTAAAGTAAGTAACAAGTGCACGACCCAAAGCACCTGCACCTCCGTAAACTGCGAGATGGCTCATAGTGTGTGTATGTTGTGTGGAGAAGAGAATGAAAAAAAGTGAAAGCGCGCGACGCCCATTTTCTTTATGCAACAGCGCGTGAGAAAAAACAAATCAGTGACACGACTCCGAACAACCAATTATGCATTTGGACTTTATTTGATACAATAAACATCGTCAATGAATATCCAAAGCATTACCTTGGATGATTATCCTTCGTTGCTTTTTATTCTCACCGGCATGGAAAAGGTGTCAGGGCTTAGATTACATACGATCAAGGGTGGATTGTTGATAGCTCTCGGGTACTACACCCTGCTTGTCGCTCACATAGAGATGATACTACTTTGAGTTGATAGTGCTTGAAGGTGAAAAGAAGGTTGAGTGTGTCTTCAATTGTATCAAGCGAATGCGGTAACATGGAATCCGGCTATACCAACCCCATGCCGGCTCTGATAAAGTATGCCACCTAATCCAGCTTTTGCATATGTATCTCGGGAGGCAGCTACACCAAAAGGAATGTGAGTATATGCTTCATCAAGCAAGATGATTCAGTTTTACCTTTATAAAAGAGCCGAACATACCACAATAAACACCACGACAATGAAGGAGGAAAACAATGAAACGCCAAACATTGTAGTATATGGATCTCTCCTCATAAAGCAAGACCATCTACCATGGTCCTTGCTAGCGGCTTTGAAGGTGTCACCTATCAAAGAGCGGTATGATAGAAACGTGAGATGAGTGGGGCGACAAGTTCATGGTGGGTGTGGGTATTTCTATGATCATAAATGTTTGTTGGGTATGATGCATGAGCCCGGTGAAATGGTGTCATAACATGATAAAACCGGTAGATTGGCGCATTCATCAATAAAACTTTGAAGACCTAAACTATGATGATTATCCTTACATAAATCGGCAATCATCACCATACATCATCAAGGAATGATATCAGCAACTCTGTGATCACGGCATCTTTAGCATTGTTGGCAACAAAAGCACCATCTGGGTTTGAATAAACATGATGCATTCATGCAAAGTGTTCCCACCACCACCACAGGGTGCCATAGCTGCTTCTGATATCGATATCGATTTGTGGGGTGCTAATGACAACAAAGTAAATCGATGTAGCATCCTGAAGAATTGGAGTTGGTCTTTAAAAGAGTGACTATATATTCACAGTGGTTGGTAGAGAACGATTTAGATAATAAACAGACATTGTGTTGGGGATGGATTCTATACAAAATGATTACAGTGGGATGTGAAAAATATATTTGGTGGGAGGAGGGTGGGGAGAGGAACTTGGCATCTATCTAAATGGAGGTATCAATTTACGCTTGGTAGTGTGAAAACGATCACTCAAATCTCCTTGGACTTCTTGATGATGGACTTTGGTGACCACTCGTATTGCCGCCACTGTTGCTGCTTCCAGGTACAGGTCGAGCCATACCCTCACCACCACCAAAGTGAGTTGCACCACCTCCACCTCGTTGATGACTTGGACCGATGGTGGGTGATACAGATGCGTTTGCTGTTTCAGTCTCTGTGCCTGTTGTCGCAGGAGCATCTGTCACCAATAATCGTCTTATCATTGCACCCCAGGATTCGGATTGAGTAAGTATAGCTATCTGTATATATAAAAGCAATCAGCATCATCATTATATGTATTCACGCATCCCATTACTTACGTGATATGGGAAGGGATTGCCTTCTATGGTCTTGATCGATGGGATATGCTCCTTATGATCGTTGGCACAGCGCAGTATATCCAATAGGCATTGTGATAATTGATGTTCCACAGACCGCAGCGATCGTTGCCGTTCTACATGCAAGCAAGCAAACAATGGTTCATCCCAATTGACCTTTTCCTTCCCAATGGGTAACAATAATAACATACCTAAATCCGATTGCGGCTGCGCCAAATTGATAGTGATAGCCCATCGTTCCCAACACACAAGCTCCTTGGCCTTGGAGAATGGATACCAAATCTTCTTATCTCGTTGTTCATAGAATAATACGGCTATCTAGTATAACAGGATTTCAATCATTGGTGGCCACCCTTTTCTCTCTCTCTCTCTCTCTCTTGTATTTACCTTGCCCTGCCTTGCATTGTTCGAGGAAATGGTTTGGAAAAACTCCGTAGCTCGTTGTTCGATAAGATGATCCACTTCTCGATTATCAGTCGTTGCCTAAATTCTCGATCCCAGCATGTGAGCCCAAGGTTGCATGTGAGGGTGCTTGAAAAGGGGAGTATTCAAAAGAAGAGAGAGTGAGTGAGTGATAAATACGAACCACTGTTGTATCCAGAAAACGCAGTTCTCGGGGAGCAACGTTTACAAGTAGCCGATGGAAGAAGATTGAATGTAAGAGCGCTAGAGGACCATCGATTACTATTGTTGAATGAATGCGAATGTAGGTAGATGATACCTCGAAGGACGTCCTTGACGTGTTCTTTTGGGACAGAGGTCTGCGTGTGAGATACAAGGTGTATGTGTGTGTGTGTTGTTAGTTGGAGGTGAAAGAAGAGGTTGACTAAAGTATTGGAGTACCATTTCAATGTTGAATTCCTGAGCATTGGTTGTCATATTCTAAGAGAGTGAAAAGAGTGAAGGAAAAGGAAAAAGGTGGTCAAGTTTGCTTTGGGAAGGGGAGAGGACTCCAGAGCGATCATCATGCGGAAAACTTGGCGGTGTCTGTGTCACTTGGTCTTTCTCCAATGCTTTCCACTTTACGAGCAGTAGCACGCTGCCGCTATTCTCATTCCCTTGCATTTGTACATTCAACTCGCACCATGAGCCATGCTACCCATAACACAATCACGCCAACTCCTGTTACAGCCGCTTGTTGTATCATTGGCGACGAGATCCTCAATGGCAAGACCAAAGACTCCAACTCGCATTTCCTTGGTATGGCACGCGCGAAAAACCCATATATCCATCATTCCTATTCACACCCTTTATCACTCGAACATAGCAAAGTATTTATTCGATTGTGGGATTGACCTAAAGCGTATCGAGGTGGTGGGCGATGATTATGGTGCTATTGCTGAAACTGTCACTCGTCTCTCCAGTCAGCATGATTTGGTATTTACCAGTGGTGGGATTGGTTAGTTCAGTCACCCGACCCTTGCAACCACATGTACACTATATATTAAACGGTAACAAATAGGACCAACACATGATGATATCAGGCAAGTGATGGAGGAGTTTATCCATCAAGGAAATGAGACAATGCATTAATATGAATTATCCATGATGTAGTTATGAAGCGATCGCCCGTGCCTATTCATTGGACCTTAAACTCGACAATGATACCTGCGTTGCTATGGAGAAAGTGATGCGACCCAAGATAGTCCATTGGGAATTGACCGAAGCAAGGAAACGAATGGCTATCTTCCCTTATCCAGCAGAGATTATACGCACCAATCCTGAAGAGCTTTGGGTACCCGTCGTGGTAGTGAACAGCAACATCCATATCCTCCCAGGCATACCACGTTTGTTTGAACGTCTCATTACTCTTTTGCGACCTCGATTTGATCGATTGGTGGATGAAAAAGGTGGCATGGGAAGATATTATCGAGTACAAGTGGCTACCAAACTTCCAGAAGGCGAAATTGCTCCTTGTCTCTCAGAACTCCAGAAGCAAGTCGACAAGAAAAACCTAAAGATTGGCAGCTATCCAAAGTGGGGAGTAACAGAAGATGGTACAAGGGTCGTAGTCAGCGTTGTGGGACGTGATCAGGCTGACGTCAAGCATATCGGCGATCAACTTGTGGACCAAATCGAAGGCAGGATCCTCAACCCTTTGGAAGCAATAGAGCATGGCGAGGCACAAAGAGAATTACCATAATCATTATTACTCGATGGAATAAAAGTATCTATGCCACTCGCATTATGGATGGATCGTTTGCAGCAGTGGAATGATCGGGTGGTGATATTATACAAGTAGCCCTTACGTAGTCTTCTTCATCCTTCATACGAATGTTATCGTCCCTTGAAAATAAAATGACACCCAATGGTAGAATACAGATACCTCAACCACTTTGCGCCAAGTAAGGACATCCATGGGCTTAATTTGTACTTGGTTGCTATGCAACAGCCGTTGTCTCTTTCATTCAAGCAACACCCTCATCTTTCTTGTTGTAGTTACACCGTCTCAGCGACTTTTACACGATAATAGAAATCTACCGTGTTACCTTCTTGTTCAAAAGCACCATACTATTAACATGTTTCTCGATAATAAAAAGCTATAGTTGATTCAACACCATGGCAGCTTGCGATTGTTCAATAAGCCATATGCTTTAATGCACAAGGGCCAGGGATGCAGCAGATTTTGGCATGACATAGGCATCCTCTACGTAGCTATGATACTGCCATTGCGTCGTAACCAATAATAGCACTCTCCAAGAAGAGGAGTACGTACAACGTGTATCATCATTAGTATTGTAAAATTAACCAGGCATTCGGGTGCCATCATTAAGTCGCTCAAACATTGGATACTGTGATACGTGCGCCACGTCTCCTTGCCATACGTTGATTACATTTTTTGACGAGATGAGACAAGCCCAAGGTCAGCTGTATAAACTCTATTGATTATTATTGGTACAGCCGCATCCACCTCGGTCGTTTACTTCAACAGGCTCTTTTGGTGGTTACAAAAAGGTGTTTGGTTGTTGGACAAGATGATGATGGTTGCCTTGGACACCGTGCATTCGGTGACCTGTGCGGTATATGACGACAAGCCCAGATTACAAAGCTTCCAGAAAATACTAAAGCGTATGGGTCACTCAAGGTGTCATTGTATACCATTGGCCTTTTTGACAATGATGTATGCTGCTTGGTAGCCATTGTTTCTTGTATCATGGATCATGGCATTTAATTTGAAGTATGACTTATGAATCTGTTACATCATACTACAAGGTACATCCAACAAGGAGCGAAAACAATGAGTACATGGACGCATGTTATTTGAGTTTGTCAGGCGCAAGATCGTGGCTTTAAACGAACATGATATGCTTGCATTCATTTCCCAAGTGTATCTATACATAGAACACAGTACAATCAAATACAAGGGATACAAGTAAGACGAGTGGATGAGAGTGAATCCCCGCTGAAGGAATGGCCATTTTATGTTGTACAAAGAAGGTACAAGTTGGGCGCCACAGATAAATTTAGCAGCCTCCCCGCGCCCTGGGTTTCACGCGAAGACCAGCATGATGCCATACGCGACACAAAAGCTAAAACATGATTACCTGAGCCCCCTAATCCGATCACCAAGGAACATCTTCGTACCATGTTTCTCAGACACTCACGCTTCTTAGGCTCAAGTGGCGCTCTCTCTCTCACACACACACACACAAGCCGTCACGCATATCCACACACACACACACACATACCAGCCATTGGCAGGTTATCTCCCACACCGTTGCATATGCAGCCACTATTTCAATCAGCCAACGAGTCAGCCATGGTACCCGAGAAAAAAAAAACTCAAGCCATGCTTCTCTGGGTTAATTATAACTCGCTCTCAATACCATCATCATCGGCGCGTTATTATAAAAGAACCAAACATCCATTCCATGTCTTGATCTTTGTGTCTTGTTAGACTCATAACATCATCACAATTCTTCTTTCTATTTCATCCACCACCCCATCTCAAAACCAGTACAGCAAAACCATGGCTGCCATCGAATGGGTTTACAATGCCGGATCAGCATGGGCACCTCTTGATCGCTACACACAACAAACCATTGAAGCTCTCTGGTCGCAAAATGGAGCAAGTTGGATTCAAAGCAGCCCTTCCTTTGGTGGTCACTCTATCTTCATTGACACTTCCCAACTTATCCTCATGTGCAGTGGATACTCTTATACGATCGCACGAAGATATCGTTGATGTGGCGATATCATGAAGAATCATTCCAATCATTTGTTTTCTTGTTGTCATTACCTCTCCCCCATCGACCATTGCTTTATCCCTCAAATCTATCATACGCCCCAATTTTCAAATAGCTAGCATCTTTTATCTTTTCAAGCTTCACACGCACACACGCACACACACCAGCATCATCTAACAATGGCATCATCATGCATTCTATCTCTACCACCACCACTACCAGCCATCCCCTTCCCGCTGCCTACTTTGCCATTTTACTCATATACCTATATACCACAACATCAATTGCATTTCTCTTTTACGCTCATCTTATGTTCTTTCTGGATTGCTTTCTTACTATGATTCGTATGTTTGTGTTAACAAATAAAAACATTTGGTCTCATGTTGAACTTTAAGTTTATCCATTGGGATGGGTAGCACAGCATAGATTACCACGGTGACACAAGCTTAAAAATGGGGTTTAAGTTTGGCAAGCGGAAGAAGAGGAGGGAGCCATTTCGTTTATTGGATAATAATAGTAAGACCACAAATTGTCCATGTACGGCATACGCCTCCTCACATTTCCATCAGGGGCGAATTCAAGTTTTCCCAAGATGCAATTGCTTTATGGCGTGAGGCAAATGACCATTGTTGTAATGGCCATTGGCTTTTATATATAGGTGTTGTTGTCAGCAAGGGGTTGGTTGATACGCCTAAGGACATTCTTCGTTGCTATGCAACAAGAAATGCCTAGCAACGACGTCAAGTTGGCTATGTAGATATAACGAAATTAGGCCACCGATTCCGCAAGCGGCCTTTATCACAACCAAGGCCATGGAGAATGGGTACACCTGCATATATTGGATCACGCAAATACATACACCTCCTGTCACACATACATTTACGTATGGTTGTCAGCGTAAAAAAGACATCATGATTGGCATTTACATTAGACCATCGGATGATCCATAACACGCCATAGTCAACGTTGAAAGGGAGGCCGGCTTTTTTTGTCGTTCATTCGACTGCTAGAAGACCATCTTTTTAAAAGTAGCTTTCACATCCTAAACATTTGACGTTATGTTGTTCCAATTTCACAACACATATTGGACAACCCAAATGAACATCTTTGTTTGTGCACCGATTTGGTGGTGTTTGGTTACAACATTCATGGGACTGCATTTAGAGCGCGTCCTTGGGTAATGTCTACTATCGCAGTGACATACCCAGATATCAATTTTGCTCAAGAACACCCGAGAGCCGGGCTATCGAGCAAGATTACCAAGGAGCAGGAAATTCAAAAGGCGTTGACAATATGGGCACCCTGACAACTCAGTCAAGTTTTATGACCATACACCTCTTCCAAAAATAGTTTTATATTGCATACGGCCATTTAAGCATATGCTCTGTTCAAGGAGCATAGTGTTGGGGTCCTGAGTGCACGAAAACTCACGAGAGTAAAGTACAGTATTCCAATGATGATCCGCGCTTGGCTTTTCCACAATGCGTCTTGTCCCCAACATCCAAATGATATGACCCATTATAATACAAAGAGCGTAACATTGTATACAACAAGGAGCTACACCAATCAGTGATACGATATCTTTGTTTTTTATACCAACATGCAACCATACACAAAGGTGATCGAATGCTTGTTGAGCTTATTAAACGTTCATCTGCATCATGGTGGTCACATAAAGCGGGCCAAGAGTCCAAGGCTAAGTGTTCTATTGTAATCAAAGAGGTACGCGATGGATTGTTTAGCATAATCATTCGTTGTTATGGAAAGTCATGGGGTAGATAAGGGTGCTTTGTCATGGATCTCAATCACTAACCATATTTGACTTCATTGTGTACGACAATAATGGGCGATGACGGGATATACAACCATGGATGAAACAGGGTGGTCTTATTCCAACAATGAGCCTCTTGCTTTGTCTCATCGTTTATTGCGCCAACAATGACATGAGATGTATCAAGAAGAAGTGGTGGCTTTCATTGGCTGGTCGTCTCCGCATTCAAACCCACTACGTATACAACAATGACAAAACCAGTTGGCTTATCAACAACATGGACATGGTCGACTCCTAATCATGCTATAGCTATTGATGAGGATGCTACAAGTTATCAAAGAATGATTAGGAATACGGAAGGCGATAAGGATAATGCACTACACCAGCCATAGCGACCAAAAAAATAAAAAGATTTGCCACCAAAAACGCGTTCAGGTTATGATGCATGATGCTATAGCCCCATGCAGAAACTAAATAGAAACGTTGATATTACGTTGGCAAGATACAAGGAGTGATAAATGATGGCAATCAAGGCACGTTCTTTGTCACATGTTTGAGGATGAAAATAGGATTCCCGTATAGCTCACTCATTCCGACTTGCACTACAATACCTCCCACCCTATAATATACCCATATCTCTTTGAACAATGACAATTTTTGTTCTTCCAACAAACACGCTCTATTAGATTTTTATGCTTTTGGCGTAGTCTACTTGTATGCAAGGGTTGATTAATCGATTTACTTGGCAATTTCAACACCGTTGGTGGCACCAAGAGCACGCTTGATATCACCGTAGATAGCGAATTGACCAGCAGTGAGGGTGGCAACCATGACAATTCTAAAAGGATGACATCGATTAGAAGGTGGATTACTTTTAGGATTGAAAATAAAGCATACCTTGCGCCGAGACCAAGGAAGAGACCCTTGGCACCGAGTTGGCCGGCCATTTGGACAAGACGGGAGGTAACGGATTGACCTTCACCACCGGGAGCCTTGTTGATCTTGGAGAGCAAGGTATCAGCGGGCTGAGAAATGATAGCAGCAGCAGTACCGGCAATGATACCAGCACCAAGGTTGACACAGGTGACAGTGGAAGGAGCAAGTTGATCCTTGGGGGTGGAGATGCTGTCATAGATAGCCTCACTAAAATCATCACAATGAGTACTTGTATATCATCACACACACATCCTACTACTACTACTTACGCAGCACGTTCGTAAACGACGAACTTGGCCATGGTGTAAGGAACTTGCTTGAAGAGGATAGGACCGAAACCACTGTAGAAGCCCTTGATGGCACCCTCTTCCTTCAAGATCTTAGCGAAACCAGACAACAAGCCAGAGGCGAAGGTAGGTTGAGAGACAAGACGAATACGAGTAGCTTCCAATGGGCAAAGAGCGACATCAGCAAAGAACTCGGCAATAGCAGAAGAACCGAGGTAGATGGCAGTGCGGTTCTCACGAGCCTTGTCAAGACCAACGATATCAATGAAGGTCTTCTTCCAGAATTCGTAACCACCAAACTTGAAGGCACCTTGCAAAAAGTAACCAGCAGCAGTAGGACCGAAACCGGTCAAAAGAGCACCAGCACCTTCGGCTTGGACAACTTGCTTGAAGCTGCCAATCATACCCTTTGATTATGCCATGTTGGTTTTAGTACCATCATCATCATGTGATTGAATGTATGTAGCTATCTTTTTACCTTGTTGTAAACTTCGGGAGAAAGCTGCATACGGGTCTTGACGACATCAACGGGAGTCATGGCACCGTGAGTGATGGCACAGCAGACAGCACCAGCAAAGGCGAAACGAGCATAGAGGTTAGCGCCAGAGGGAGCAGGTGCAGCATCAGCAGCAGGCGAAGGGATGAAAAAGTTCTTCTTCAAGGTGGATTGAGAGGGGAACATGTTTGTTGTGAAGAGCGGAGAAGGGAGTAAAAAGGGAGGTTCTATGTTTTTTCTCGCTTTTGAAAATTTATCGGAGAGGTCAGGAAAAAGAGTTTTCGCTCAGGGGAATCTTGAGCCAATCGATAGGCCCTTTCGCATGTCGACGCAACACTTGAAGCCGGAGTTATACTATACAAGCACGACCCTGGTTCTAGGCGGGTAAACAATGCCCGTTAGACTAAAGCTTCGATTTTCATTCCATCATGTAGTAGTAGTGTCGACCACCCCCTTACCCTCATTGGCAATGTCGATCCATTTGTGTTTATATATATGCAACATGGTGGTCCTGTGACATAAGGGGTCCTGTCATTTTTGTTTGTTCATTTTTTGGTGCCATGTCGCAAATGGCAATTGATGAATGGGCCATACATAGAGCATGATTATACAGGTTTTTAGAGATGCGTGGATCGGACCGAGACAAACTGACATCATTGGCAAATCCCATTTGAAAACACACGTGAGTGGTTGGTTGAATAAAGAGGTGGCCTTTCTTTACAATGGGGGATGTAGCAAAAGGAAATCGTATTCATCTCAGTTACACATTAAGGTTTGATCCTTTTACTGCCACACCTCTTAAAAGGTTTTTCCGATGTGAAATGATCATGACAGAAAGTTGAAAGCGTGTTGTGTAAGAGTGGGTTAGCAAACGAGTTGTTGTCGGGAAAGTGGAATGTGAAAACAACAACAGACCCGTTTTCAGCCTTTCAATTCCCCCTTTTCCCTTTTTCTTTATTTTCACCCTTTTCCTCCTCCACTATCATGTATAGACTGTCGGCACTCTCTCGTGGTGTCGTCGCCACTCCTTTCAGCAATTCGATTGCTCAACGGATTCCCATGGCTGCTGTCAAGCGTGTGCCTGCCATGGCCAGCAGCTCATTCCACACCAATCAGGCCAAGTGGGCTAAAACAACACCCGATACGGGCGATGCGTTTGTGCATGGCGGTGCCGCCAACTACATTGAAGAAATGTATGAAGCCTGGTTGAAGGATCCTTCGTCTGTTCACTTGTCATGGCAAGTTTACTTCAAGAATATGGCCAACGGCGTTGCACCTGGCAAGGCCTATACACCTCCTCCCACGCTGGTACCTTCTGGTAGTGCGCGTCTTCCAAGTCTACCCGACGCTGTAATTCCCAACGCCGCCAGTGTACCATCCACTGAGATTATCGATCACATGAAGATTCAATTGTTGGTGCGTGCTTATCAAGTGCGTGGTCATCATCTTGCAAGCCTCGATCCCCTTGGTTTCCAACATGCTGATATTCAAAACGCCAACCCTCGCGAATTGTCTCACACCTATTATGGCTTCACTGAACGCGACCTTGATCGTACCTTCTCGCTCGGCCCTGGTATCTTGCCTGCTTTCATGGATAAGGGCAAGTCGCTTACGCTTCGTGAAATCATCGACACCTTGCAAAAGACTTACTGTAAGTGTTACATCATTATGGATATGGATGGTGAAGGATTCCACACCCCCCCCACTCATTTGGTTTATTTAAAAAGGTGGTTCCATTGGTATCGAATACATTCACATTCCCGATCGTGCCCAATGTGATTGGATTCGTGAGCGTATTGAAAACCCACAACCTTACAAGTACTCTGTTGAGGAGAAGCGTGCCATCTTTGATCGCTTGACATGGTCCGACAGCTTTGAGCGCTTCGTTGCATCCAAGTATCCTTCTGAAAAGCGTTTCGGTCTTGAAGGTGGTGAATCCCTTATCCCTGGTATGAAGGCATTGGTAAGTGTGAAGCATCATGGGATCACATGGGGCTGTATATTTATGGTGCTCTATTTTATAGATTGATCGTTCCGTGGATCTTGGTGTTGAATCCATTGTTATTGGTATGCCTCATCGTGGCCGTCTCAATGTGCTCAGCAACGTGGTCCGTAAGCCCAATGAATCCATCTTTTGCGAATTCAGTGGTTCTGTTGAACCTTCCGAAGAAGGCTCTGGTGATGTGAAGTACCATCTTGGTATGAACTATGTTCGTCCTACTCCTTCTGGCAAACGTGTGCATTTGTCTTTGGTCGCCAACCCCTCCCATTTGGAAGCTGTCAACCCTGTTGTGCTTGGCAAGACCCGTGCATTGCAATTCTACAGCAAGGATCATCAACGTAAGCACTCTATGGCCATTATCATGCATGGTGATGCTGCCTTTGCTGGTCAAGGTATCGTTTACGAGACCATGGGCTTCCATGACTTGCCTGCCTACTCCACCGGTGGTTCCATTCACATTGTTGTCAACAACCAAATTGGTTTCACCACCGATCCTCGCTTTGGTCGTTCCACTCCTTACTGTACCGATATTGCCAAGGCTATCAATGCACCTGTTTTCCATGTGAACGGTGATGATGTTGAAGCTGTTACCTATGTCATGCAACTTGCTGCCGATTGGCGTCAAACTTTCCACCGTGATGTGGTCATTGATTTGGTGTGCTACCGTAAACACGGCCACAACGAGACCGATCAACCCATGTTCACTCAACCCAAGATGTATGAAGCTATTGCCAAGCAAGCCCCTGTTGCCAAAAAGTATGCCGACCAACTTGTCAAGGAAGGTAGCTTCACCAATGAAGAAGTTGATTCCATCAAGAAGCGTGTGTGGGGTATTCTTGAGGAGAGCTATGCCAAGAGCAAGGATTACAAGCCTACTTCCCGTGAATGGTTGACCAGCTCATGGCCAGGTAAGATGCATGCATTTATTATTAAAATGACATGTTTATGCTGAATGCTATTATGATAGGTTTCAAGTCTCCCAAGGAATGCGCCGAGGAAATCATCCCACACAACCCCACCGGTGTTCCCATGGAAACGCTCAAGCAAATCGGTGCTTCATTGACTGAACTTCCCCACAACTTCAACATTCATCGCAACTTGAACCGTATCATCCAAAACCGTGGCAAGGCCTTGGCTGCTGGAAAGGATATTGATTGGTCTACTGCTGAAGCTCTTGCATGGGGATCTTTGTTGTTGGAAGGCAAGCATGTGCGTTGCTCTGGTCAAGATGTTGAGCGTGGTACTTTCTCTCAACGCCACGCTGTGTTGCACGATCAAAAGACCGATCAATTGTACACTTCTTTGAACCACATCTCTCCTGAGCAAGGCAAGTTGACCATTAGCAACTCTTCCCTTTCGGAATATGGTGTCCTTGGTTTTGAACTTGGTTACTCGCTTGTGGATCCTAATGCTCTTGTCATGTGGGAAGCTCAATTTGGTGACTTTGCCAATGGTGCTCAAACAGTGATTGATCAATTCCTTGCTGCTGGTGAACAAAAATGGTTGCAACGTTCTGGTCTTGTCATGTCGTTGCCTCATGGTTATGATGGTCAAGGCCCTGAGCATTCTTCAGCACGTATTGAACGTTACTTGCAATTGTGTGATGACAACCCCTACGTGTTCCCATCTCCCGAAAAGTTGGATCGTTTGCATCAAGATTGTAACATGCAGGTGGTTTATGCATCCACCCCCGCTCAATTGTTCCACGTGTTGCGTCGTCAAATCAACCGTGAATTCCGCAAGCCTTTGATTTTGCCCTTCTCCAAGTCCTTGTTGCGTCATCCTCTTGCTCGTTCGTCTCTTGAAGAAATGACTGGCAACACCAGCTTCCAATTGTACTTGCCTGAACCTCACCCTGAGCACCTTGAAGCACCTGAAAAGATCACCAAGCACGTCATGTGCACTGGCCAAGTGTACTACAACTTGCTCAAGGCACGTGAAGCCAACCAATTGACCAATGTCGCCATTTCTCGTGTCGAACAACTTAACCCCTTCCCTTACCAACAAGTCAAGGAACATGCTGACAAGTATCCTAACGCCGAGATCATCTGGTGCCAGGAAGAACCTATGAACATGGGTCCTTGGGCTCACGTCAATCAACGCATCGCCACCGCTCTTTCTGAAACTGTTCACCATGCTGGCAAGCATCCCAAGTACACTGGTCGTGAACCTTCCGCCTCTGTCGCTACCGGCAACAAGAAAAAGCACGTCCAAGAAGAGCAGGAACTCATTGCCGCTGCCTTGTTGCACTAAGTCCCTTCCACTTTTTTTTCCTGTGTATAATATGTGTAGAATAAAAAAAGAATCAAGCCATTTTTTTAAAGAAAAGAAAGAGTGGGGTATAAGGGTGAACTATGTATGTATGTACGTTCTTGCTATGTAAAATGCAAAAGGATGAAAAGAGAGAAAGAGAGAGAATTATCTACACGGATGTTTCATTAAGCTTACGCTGCAATTCATCCACACGTCGATGCATGGCATCATTTTCTTGCTCCATAAGTTTCATCTTGTCTCGCAAAGCAGCCATTTCACGATCCTTGTTATGCATGGCGGCTGATTGCGCTTCAAGCTGTGCCTGCAGCTGAGAATACATGTCTTGTTCCTATGTACAATAATGATTTGTCAGCCATCATCATCTCGATATGTATCCAAATTCTTACAGGAGATGAAAAGAGTTCAAATTCAAGTAGCTGAACAGCAGAGGGTCGATGGGCTGGATTATCATCCATCATCCACAAGATAAGTGCTGATTCTTTTGGATACTTTTCTACAAAGCCATCGGGGAAGACGCCCTTGCGTAATTGTTGGATAGCACATGCACGTTCCATGCCTGTTGAAAAAGACTGATACAATTCAAAAAGGATGATCCCAAGTGAATAAATATCCACCTTATCATCGTACATGTAAGATGGATGTGCAAGCTGTTCTGGTGCAGCGTACTACATGAATCCCACATCGTGTTGGTTATTTGAAAGAAGAGAAGATAATACCTAGATGCATTTTACTTACCGTACGTGTACCAACGCCAAAAGACCGTTTATGACCACCACCACCGGCTGCTGCTGCACTATACTCGCTGTCACTGCCATTGCTGCTGCTGCTGCTGCTGCTATCATCATCATTGTTGCTGTTACGTTGACAATAAGAGGATGAAATGGACAAAAAGCTGTTGTGTGATCCAATCATGACATCGGGGCTACCATTTGAATCAGGCGAGAAAGGGTGTTGATGATGCATCAATGGTTTCTTGGATTGTTGATGTTGTTGTTGCATGACAGCTGCTGCAAGGCCGAAATCACCAATTTTGGGAACCCATTTTTCATCCCACATACAATCACGTAGTTTGCCTTCCTTGGTACGCACCGAATCGAATGAAAACCCATGGTAATGATCGTCACTGCTGCTACTGCTCGATGATGATCTCCAATGATGGCGTTGTCGATGACATGTAAATTCAGGCATCCCCAAAAAGATATTGCTTGGCTTGAGATCACGATGAACCAACCCTTGTTCATGGATATACGCTGCACCTTCCAATAAACCCTTAAAGATCTCGATATTTCGTGCACTGTCAATGGGCTGCTTTTTACGATTGCGATACTTGATATAATCATGCAGAGTAGCTATGCCAACATGATGATTGGTATATGACCGTAAGTAATGAACAAAAAAGTAAAATGAATACGTACCTGGACACAAGTACATTTGAATATAAAGCATCCATCCTGATGTAGAGGAGGAGGATCTACGTCGTCTTCGTCGTTGTCGTTGCCGTTGATGTCGATTACTGCTACCGTTGGACTTAGTGCTGGAGCGTCGAGACATACGTCGTTTGGCTTTTGTGTGAGGAATGCAAAGCGCTTGTTGGTGATAATGAATGGTGCTTTCATCCTCGTCGTCGTCGTCGTCATCTTCGTTGCCAAAATGGATATGTGACATATCTTGTGGGGTGTTGTCATCATCTTTCATATCATCCGCGTCATCTTCAAAAGTGGGATCACAACCATTAAAAATGCTGTCTTCGTCATCATCCGATACATGGTGGTGAGGTGATGATGATGTTTCAAAAGATGCGTCCTCATTGTATTCGAGCCAAGACCCATAATAGCGTACCACATTATGATGCTCGAGTCGTGCGAGATGTTTGATTTCACGAAAGATCTTATCATAAGGCATTCCATAACCATCATCCACCAAATCATCGCCTAATCGAATCCGTTTGATGGCATAATCGATTCCATCCAGCTTGTTACGTGCTCTCCAAACACTTGCAAATCCACCTCGACCCAGCAACGCCACCTGAACAAAATCATTTCGATAACGAGAATTCTGTACATTCATCAAACTGAATCCAGTATTCGTTGTTGTTGTTGTAGAAGAGGAGCTTTCAGCAATCGAGTGGGTGGTCTGGTAACCAAAGGCATCTTCTTCTTCATGATAATAATCAATCATGCGTGGTGTGGAACTGCCTGTGCGCATCATTGTGGAACCATCTTCAAGAGAGCGAAATGCTTGTGTACGCACTGTTTGGACCGCCGTATAAAACAACTTTTGAAAGGCACCTTGAAAAGTGGATCGTACACTGGCCATTTCATCCACAAATTCTGCATCAATAAAGCCCAAAGAGCTGAGTGTCTGGCAAATCAGAAAAAAGACGCGTCGATTGGCTTCGGGTGAGTCGCCATGGATACGGCAAAATGACTCGATCAGCGACACAAGTAGCATTTTTGTTTGACGTCGTTTCGAGATATTGCCCCTACTACTACTATGGCCGCTGCCAGCACCGCTGCCGCTGCTCGTTTCACCACTCGTCGTCGTCGTCGTACGATTGACTAGCTTTTCCATATCTACATTTGCCCCCATGGTTTCAGCAACCTTTCTTCAATAAAAGAGAGAGAAATATAACCTTCGGAAGATTCATCGTTGGCATCGGGTCGCGTCCAGAACTTGTTTGAGCAGTCTGATGAATCGGATTCGACATCATGTACTGCCATGAAGAAAAGGAGGGGGGGAAGAGTAAAGAGAAAAAGGAACAAGAAAAAAGGGAAAGGTGTGGAAGGAAGAAAAAAAAAGTAAAAGGGTCCAGAATATATAAAGTAGTTGCCTAGTAAGGTGGGGTTGGGTTGAATGGTGTGCTGCTGTCTCTTGTCTGTATTAGATAGCGTCTGTGTGTGTGTGCGTGTGTGAGTCGGCTTGACAGTAGTGAGATGGTCCACCAATCATTGAGGAGCTTGAGAAAGTTCCAGCATTAACGAGATCATGCTTTCTTTTGAACACAGCAAAGAGACACGCTGCCAATCAAATGCAGATGCGCATGAAACATGCTACTTTTTTTATTAAGATGGGGGGAATTTGATGGATGCTTGGGGAGTATACAAAAAGGACTAATGTGGTAAAATAGTGTGGTGCATTTCGTAAGCTTCACCTGTTGTTGTTGTAGTAGATGAAGGTGGTGGTGGTAATGGATGGACTTGGGAATTGGCGTCCAGCGCATAGCGACTCGTAGTAGCTGTAGTAGTAGGAGTGGATGATGATGAGGAGGAAGATGTCACGGGTGGTGCTGAAAGTAATGGAGGTGATAGAGGTCGATGAATACTTGATACACGACGCGTTGGCATTGTGTCATGATGATGCACTTGTACAGGTGGCATAGGACGTGGTTGTCGACTAATCCTTTTGAGAGAGCCAATACTAATCGATCGTCGCACGTTGTCACGGAATTCTTGCATACGTGCTGCCAATGCTGAATTCGATATGGATGTATTACAGCTGCTCAGGGGAGATGGTATTGCACTATTGTTGCCATTGGGTGATAGCATACTTGCTCGTTCTGGATCTTGATGTTCTTCTTCCTCTTCTTCTTCAATAAGCGTCTTTTCATTATGCACATGGTTACTTGATGATGATGATGATGATGATGATGATGGCAGCAATAGTTGTTCCAGCAACTCTTCTCGGGCTTGTACAACGCATACAAGTGGAAACACACCAGGTGTTGATGAAGCCAAGTTTAAACCATAACCCCATCCATCATCCAATTGAAAGATAAGGTAGACAACATCACCCTCTCGTAATTCCATCTCGTCTTCCATTTGTGGTTGATATCCATGGGCGACTTCACAAAATACTTCTGCCATTTCCACCGACATGGTCGAAGGGAGTTGTGTCTTTTCTTCAGTGGGTGTCATGGGTGCTTCACCACCAACCAAGTTCATTCGAGCCTCATCCTCATAGCGTTGCATCGAAATCGGTACAAACCCGCCATTGTTGCCGACGCCACCACTGCCGCCATGGATACTGTCTCTTGGATGTTGTTGTCGTTGTCGTTGTCGTCGCCAACAATAAAAGATACCCGCAATCATCATAGCTGCAGCAGCCACGCATCCAATGACGATCCCTGCAATGGCCCCTGCGGATAATGCAGCACCACATGATACTGAGCTGCAGCATGAATCGGTGCTATTGTTCTGGCAGTAATCACATGCAGCTTGATTGTTGTCTTGGAATCCTATTCACAATAAAATCAATCCCTATTCATCATCCATATCACTCACTCACTCACTCACATTGCTACGTACCACAATTATCAGGTTCATTGTCTGATCCCAATATACAATTTCCATCTGTGCCACTAAATGCAGGCCATCCATCGCATTGCTCTTGAAAGGAATCGGCTGAACATTGAGAGCCATCCTTTTGGAGGAGCGTACTGATGCTATCGACCCATTCGTCACAGCTTGATTGGCACATGGGTTGGGGTGATACACCACGATTATAGTTGCAAGTCAAGGACTGGGTGTTGTGGATCAAGAGGGCACATGTCTGTGTCAGTGAATAACGTGCATATTGGGTATTGTTGGCACATCCAATCTCTTGCATAGGCGACGTGGTTGCGAGGTGGTCCTGTAGACTGGTGTCAAATGAGGCAACGCTGTCAACATTGGCGAGAAAAGAATAGGACGATGCGAGTGCTGAAATGGCGACATAGTATGGGTCGAATGCGCGACATGCTTTGGATGACTCCAACTTTAGACACCCATCGGATTCAAGCTGAGCGTCGACGCGAGATAAGAAAAGACATGAGGAGAAGAAGTAGAAGAAGAATATAAGGACTGTAGCACGGGAACGCCAAGCCATTTCCTATGTGTGGTCAAACATCCAGTAACAAGGAACGGGAAAGAAGTAAGCACAAAGGGGAAAAGGAAAAAAAAAAACTTGTTTACCGCATTCGCTCGCACACACACCCGCACACACACACACACACACTCCCATACGCGTATCATGTTGTCTTTTTGACGGGGAGCCAAAATAGAGAAATGCCTACCTTTAATGGGATAATAGCCTTGGTTGAAAGGAAAAGCCCTATGTGTCTATATATAGGTCCCCTCTTCTTGTGGTAATCAAGCGTGAGTTTACAACTGAGGGTAAAGTTCAAATGTCAATGCGAGCGGTGATGATAATGATGGTGATGGTGGATATGAGCATGTCCCCGCTTGCAGGAATGCAAGTAAAAAGATGAGTGGGGGAAAAAGGAAAAGAAAGAAAGGAGGTAAAGATCAACCATTGAATGTCGGCCTAAAATACTCTTTTCTCGAGAATGCAATGTGTCCTCGGATGGCGGGGATTGACGAGAGAGAGAGAGAGAGAGACCATGCGCCGCACAACGAACAACGATTACGAGCCACAATCGCCACTTTAATGCTGTTTTTAGCATCCTCTGCTTGCCTGCATGTATACCCAGCACATATATTGTGCACCACACACATTGCTTTCTTCATTCTGTACACCCATCAATGCTTTTTGACTTGTCAGCTACAAAGAGACTCGGTACCTGGTTATCATTGCTGCCTATTTGTATAACACACGTACTCTTGATACAACCTCGTATTGTTACTTGCATTCTCTTAGATTCTCTTTCTGCTCCTTTTTACACCTTAGGTCTCGGCTATCACGGTTCATCATTCCGTACAAGTTGAACGGAGGGTAAAAATTGGATGATCCTGTACAACTTGACTATAATTAGATTCCATTTATCACATTCACCCTTCCCGCTTGCCCAGCATGGATGATGTGCCACACACACACATAAATGGCCTCATTGGTTCTCTTGCGCACACATTATTATTTTCCTCAATAATAAATTAGCCACCAACATGTCTTTTGACGTCAATAGTATATGAGAAAAAAGCCCTTTTCATAGAATCAACGCGCATATGGGATGGATAATAATACACAATTTCGTTGCACAAGCATCATGCTTGCCTTCCCAACTCTATGTGATTACCGCATTTTTACGAGAAAGCCAACACGACTTGATTGTCTGGAACATCGCTTGTGACAATGCACAAAATCATGCTAAAAGTTACATAGATTCAAGCCATAGACTTAAAGATGGTGCCCTTCTGCCACACGCAAATAGCCTCAATGATTCTTCATCGATTGCAAGTCAATAGTATATACAACAAAGCACACAATTTGGATAATGGAGATATACACGTTGCTTTATATGATTGATGATGATGATGATGAGGGGTATATACAACAACAGAAGGATGGACATCATTTGCATAGGTGAAGACCAGATTCTGTCAAAGCTGCAAGAATGAGTTCATTGCCAACACGATCGGCTTTTACGTCAAGCACGGGCTTGTCACTCTCCAAACTTTGCCGCTTCTTGAGATTATCGTGGATGATAGCATTATTGGAAGTACCAAAGCTGGCTACTAAGTCGCCACCCCACTCAAAGTGGCAAGTTCTTGCCATAAGCGGTTGTGTTTGCTCATCGTTGATGTTCCACAGCCTGTCGACAGAAATCGTGTCGTCGTCATTGTTCAATTTGCAGAGCGAATGCTTTGTTCCAAATGTGCCTCGTCGGGATGAGATTAGGAGCGTTTGGCTTTCATGCCGATAATCCAATGAATAAGGCTTATATCCTATATCCCTAAAGCTATCAGTAAAGAGCACGGCAAGGTCCTTCCAGCATTATACATACCATCAGGATCATCTTGTATCTTGTGCAATGTAGCATCTTCCCTTGTTGGCGACTCCCAAATGTAGCTCTCCACAGTGTTGGAACACAATAGCAACCTCTTTTCTCCCATAGCAACCGATGTCATCGAATGTATTCCATAATTCTGAGCCGAAGCTTGCATATCCTTAATGCTGGATTTGGTGTTGCGGATATCAAATATCGATACCACGTTGCTGGCGAGCCCACAATAAATCAGATTTGGATCGTTATTATCGAAGGAGCAAGACCAAGCTGGTTTTGGCAGTGTGTATCGTTGCATGGTATGTTTGTTGTGCACACATGATAATGCTAATGAGCGATCATGACCCGTGGAGAGAACAATTGAGCGTTGGTAAGGGGAGATTTTGACGTCGCGGATCTGCTTCTCATGATTGATAAAATGGTCCATGGCTGCCAAATCGCGCATGCTGACACGCTGTAATCCATATCCACATCCATGCCCTGCTGACACCACCGCCATTTCCTCAGCACCACTCAAAGCGACAACGCGACCTGTCATCTAAACGTACATCAAGATATGAATGATCATGGGGGTAGATGCATGCCTTACTATGTTTCAAGATTTACCTCGCATGGCAGTAATGCATAATGAAATTTCTCAAACGCCGATGTAGATGCTGCGTGGGATGATGATGATGATGATGATCCACATAGCACACCAAGTGATTGCAATTGTGCCCTTAATTCGTCATTCTCAGCCTTCAGCTCTTCATTCCTTCGATTCAGGTCTGCCATATGCCGTCGGTACAGAGTGGTTGACATGTTGAGTTTGGTCATCTCCTTTACGGCTTCGTTGGCCTTTTTCCTCTCTTCATCGACTTGTTTGCGCAATCTTTGCAACTCGGTGGTATCATAAACAGCAATATTGGGAGTACAAATGCGTCGCATGTCTTGTTTCCTGTATACAGTCCTATAGATGTATCTGTGTCAGAAGACTGTATCCATGCAAGGAGGATACTCAATAACATACTTGCACTGGGGACAGTGTGCCTTGTCCTTGGCTTTCATTTGCCGTACGAACCAATCAACCAAGCACCTAGCGTTCCCAAGAATAAGCTATATGAGCAATAAAGGGCATACCCTATTTCCTTACTGATGGCAAAACAAGTGCCCACATTTGAGAGAGGTGATGGCATGTTCTCCACTATTGTGCATTGGCTCCATGCATACCGGGCACGTCAATGCATTCTGGTCATCGGCTTGATCCTCGGGAGTTGCAGAACTGGTTCTTCTCCTTTTGTTGGGAGGAGGTGATGCCTGTGTAGGCTGGAAATCGTCGTCGTTGTCGTCTAGTTGAATAATTGTGTATGGCGAAAGAAGAAGGGAATCAGGGCAACACGTCGCGATGCAAATTGAATCGGGAAAAATCACGAGCACAAAAACACGCGCAGCCGCGACTGAAATGCATGATCCATGTGACCAACCTTGTATGTTAACATGCTGCCTATACTGTCAAAAGCCTATGCTAATGTGAGTTCCATGCTCGTGAACCTTCGTATGTTCATTCGTGGCGTTTTATTCTCATTGTTGTGGTCTTCATTGTGATGCTAGACTCCTCAATATCTGAATCAGAGAGCAAATCATGCAACATCATCGTTTCCCTTACTGTACAATACCCTATCAATGATAGTAATGACACAACGTTGAATATAGTAGCTACATGTGAAGCGCCTTAATGACTTGTTGCTGCATTAGCTTCATGAAAAAGGAATTTGAACCGGCAGCGAGTGTATACTTGTCATGGACAAAGAGCATCCTAAAACGCAAATTGAAGCAAACAATCCTCCTGCCTCTATATACGATCAAGTGTATTTGATGGGGATTACTATTAGGTGCGTGACATGCCGCCTATCAACTTTGTATATGAAGAACCAATACGATCATACATCCCTTTTAATCAAGCACTGAGTATCAAGAAATACACCCATCATCTTATAGATAATAGCTCTTTCTGATAGACTCAATATATAAAGCCCACAATTAACATTCAGCGATATGGGGTTACTGCTACTAATCCATGCAGGCAGTTGGAGTATAGTGTTATGACAACAAGGACGCATGAGATGAATGAGTGCTGTTATAAGTGATAGATGGGAGGAAAAGAATGAGGTAACGCTGCGAATGTCTTATTTCACCTTCCCACAGTAGTTTTGGCCACCTCTACAGAATGCTGTGTAATAGGGTCACGTGCACATGTTGCACCATGCGATAGTTGAACCCTATTGGGGATAAGAAAAGACCCATGAGTCGATGGAATGAAATGGGGGATATGACGATTGCTTTATTTATAAGGTTAAATGAGCCATCCCTTGCCCTTGTCAATGAGGATTATCCAACAAGTCTGCGCAAAGGATAGATTACATGTATAAATATAGTGTGGGTGTGGGTGAGTCTCTCTCTATCATCACTCTTTGCTCTCGCTCTCCTGGATGGCTGGGAAACACACTCCATCCCAACCCATTTTGGATTTCATTGGCTATGTCTAACTACGATTCGTCAGTATCACCCGAGCGGTTCAACAACCGCCTACAAACCGCTTGTGTATTTTTCCTTCTTTTTCTTGCTGAGGTGTATCGTCAAGCTGCAGTCCATTCGTCCCAAAGAGTAATTCTATTCGCTCTCTCTCTTATGGTCTAAGCGCTCTTTTATTATACGGTAATGCAGACACTTTTATAAGCTTTGTTTGGAAAGAGACACTAATTTTCCGGTTGCAGATCATGTCAAAGTCGAATGCCGTTCATTCTGCGCCAGCCTCTTCGTACACCAGCACCGAGGATGAGCTTGATATCGACGACGAACCAGTGGACACAGGCTTGATTCGTTGCATTTGCAATTCTTCAGAGGATGACGGTTTTACTATCCAATGCGAGCGTTGTTTGGTATGGCAGCATGCCTTTTGTGTCAACATAAGCCAACACAACATTCCAGAACATTATCTTTGCGAGCGATGTGATAAGCGGTTTCGATATGTGATTGCCAATGATATGGATCTTGTGGAGAATGAGGAGCGTCCTACGTTGAGGTTACGGACACGACCTGATGCATCGACAAGGAGGCGAGGAGGTGGTGTGGGTGCAGCAACAACAACAACAACAACGACCACAGCGACAGCAGCAGCAGTAGACAAGATAGGCGATAAGCACCATTTCCGTGATATTCATAATCGAATGCAAAGTCCCACCCATGATGATGATGAATACAAGCCTGGTTCAGCAAAACGGCCTTCTTCCCATCAACGTAGTAAAAGCAATGCGGGTCGTCCACCATCCAAAAAGCCAAAGTTGTCAAAGAGGATACCTGTATCAAAAAAGTCATGGAGAGAGATGGAAGAGGATCCAGCAAGACAACCTTCTTCGTCTTCAAGGCGTAAAACGGTCACCGGAGCAACCCCTCGTTTTCAGCTTATCAACGCCAACACCATTCGTAGCGTACACGTTGAACAAACCTTCAAGGAAGCAAATGAACGGTGGAAGAGAATGGAACAACAACAACGGGTACCGATTCATTTTGTTGTCATGAAAGAGACCGATCTTCATATTTCGATCCCGAAAGCGACTGTGCGACCATTGTCAAAGTCATTTTACGCATTGAACGACACTTCTGAGCCTCTCACAGGCATGTTTGCCGATGTTCATATTCCTGCCAATCGACTTGTTGCTGAGATCAATGGTGACATCCTTCTCAAGTCTGAATACAAGTTCAACCATGAAAACGATTTTACGATCCTTGGAACTCCATGTGTCCACGTATTTTTTTATCCTACGATTGATCTTTGTATCGATGCTCGTCACCGTGGCAACCAATCTCGGAGTATTCGTCGATCATGTCATCCCAACGCCGAATTACGCAGTATCATTACAACCAATGAGGATGATATCCAGGTGCGATTGGGTATCTTTTCACGAGCGGATATTGACAAGGGAGAAGAGATCACGATTGGCTGGAATTGGCAACGAGGACACATTAGTTGGAAAAAGAACGTCGAGTGGCACAGCATGATGAGTACGGGTGGTGTTGCAAACCAAGTGATGGATGAACAAGAAGAACGCAGTAATCGTATGGCCGTAGCAAGGATGTTGGCTCTCTTTGATACCGAATTTGTGGATTGTGCATGCCGTGATCGAGAAATTTGCTTCATTGAACATCTCCGGAGAAATAGCAATATGCTTGACAAAGATTGGCGGCCAAAGACACGTCCATCGGTTCGTTCGCCTTTATCAAATGGTGTGGATACCAGTTCTACAGTGACGACCCATACCAACACTTCCCCACAACGGCAACCTGGCAAGCGATCTCATGCCCAATTGAACTTGGAGGATCGTGATGTAGATGGTAAGTCATAAAAGTATGCTTCTCGTTGATGAATGGGGTGAAACTAAATATGCTTTTTTTTCTAGCTGGTCAGAAACTACCTTCACGTCAAAGTGTTGTCTCCAATGCCAACGCCAAATTAGACTCCAACGACAAGTCATTCTCAGATGCTGGAGACGACTCTGTGATTGACATCCTTTCCACATCACCAACAGCTGGTAGTCCTGTTATCATGCCGACAACTACCACATCACGCGTAGTGACGGATACGGAAGAAGAATTGGATGTGGATGGGGACATCGATGTTGGTGATGAAGAATACGCACAAAATGCTGCTTCAAGTCCTTCCAATGCACCTACATCCAACAGTCAGCCAAAAGCCAAGTTGCCTTGCAAAAAGAAATGGATGCGTAGCTTTATTCGACAAACCAACAACAATAGCAATGATAATAATAACGACAGCAATCAAATCAAAGGTAAGGGATGGCTATATAAGGGTTACTTTACTCTATATGCTAAATGTCCGTTTCATTTAGAAGCACCTGAAAAGGATATGGATGTAGAGAACAAGGACGTGGTGGTGGAAGATTCTACAAAGGATGATGTGATGAAAACAAAGGTGGAAGAATCCAACTCTACTCAGCTGACTACAATCCCAAGCAAGGAAGAGTCAGCTGAGGAACCACAGCAACCTATGGACGATGATTTGGATGATGGAGAATTGAGTGACGCTAGCACCGCATCCACTATACCCTTGGAAGAAGATCATGATTATCGTACGAACATGGAGGTAGACGACGACGACGACGAAGACCATCAAGCTACAACAACATCCTCCATTGCCAACAATGCATCAGCGTCAGCAGCAACAGCTATTGCAGTGACTTCAAAAAGTAAAGAGGAGGATACGGAGATGACAACAACCATGACCAACAAGGTTGAAGAGGAGGAGCAACAAGAACAAACCACTGAATCCAATGACAAGCAGCCAGCTGAAGCGGAGGAGAATGAGAAGGATGAGGAGGAGGAGGAACCAGAGATACAAAAGCCATCATCAGAAGCGGGCGACAGCCAAAATTCAGATGACAAAAGCAAGCCAACCAAGATCAAATTATCCCTTCAAGAGTATCTATCAAGGCGTGCAGCTAATCAAGATGGACCCTCCAATGAATCGCATACTTCCAATTCTGATATGAGTAAGGAGGAGGTCAAGCTATGCAATTCTACGGCCACTACTACTACTACAGCTATCACCTCCACCTCCACCGATATATCGAACATGGAAAAGGAGCAACCAGAAGCCATTGTTAATCAGCATTGAATACCCCACACACACACGCACACAACAACAAAACGCATTTATATTCGTGATCCAAAGGATTTTTTTTTCTTTTTCGAATAGCTCAAGCACTTAATTAGTTATTCATTCACATCCTACTCCCCCCCCCCCTTCTTCCCCTTCACTCACACACACAACACAGCACACACACTCACACTCACCCCGTTATTGCAGAGAATGTTCTGCTCCTTGTACAGATAACTTGCATACAAATGTATATAACATGCTGCTTTTTCATTGATGCAAAAGATGTAAGAATATCGGGGGTTGGAATACTATTTGACAGCTATGTACTCTATGTATGTATGGATGTATGTATGTATGTATGTATGTATGTATGTATGTGTGCATTGACATCCTTTACGTAGTGTATGTTGGATCGGGATAACTGAGATAGAATATGTTCAAAAAGAGAGAGTAGTGCAGCTGCCGTTGACAAGAGAGAGAGAGAGAGACACACACACACAAAGAAGGAAGACCCAATCCAATTTGCTCGCTTTGTTTCTTGTTCTCTTCTTTCCTTATATCATGTCCACCACTGATTCCCTTCCACCACCTCTTGGGTCAACAAGTCCAGAACCAGTAACGCCGTCTGTAAAGTCGCATTCGATGCCGAGTACTACTACAGCGACAACAACCCCAACCAGCAATTTCCGCATCACACCAAAGACTTCCATCACCCATCCGATCAAGTAAGACGATGCTCTCTTTTATTGCTCATGTTGCGCATGGGTATTGACATTGTATCTCTCTCTACAGCATTAGCTGGATAGTCCCTGACGAGTATTTACCGTTTCTTTCACTATGCGAGCTGCCAGATGACATTGATCTATACGATTTGACGGATCCTTGCTTGGAGCAGCAACTGACGCCTCAATTGGCACGAGCACAGCACGCGACGGATCAAGTATCCCGACCTGTTATTGGCAACTTGGCTCTTAGTTCATGTCCGGGGAAAAAAGTTCGACTTACAGGACCTACTCGTGGAAGGGCAGCTATCAATCGAGATCTTGACTTGGATTTCAGTCGAATGAAGTCGTTTGGTATTACGACACTTGTATGGTAATACAATCATCATCATTCCCATGATGAGGACGAGGAAGGGGGGGCTTTCTTTCTCTCTCTCTCTTTTATATACATGTATCAACCTCCATCATCTCTATAGCTGCCTGGATGACATGGAACTCGATTACCTCGGTGCTCCATGGCCAAGATACTTGGAGGCAGCGACACAAAATGGAATGAGAGTGATACGATTACCCATGATTGAAGGAAGTTGTCCAGAAACCATTCAAGAAATGGATGCCGTGATTCATATGGTCAATGAGACGATCCACAAGGGCGAAAATGTACTCACTCATTGTCGAGGCGGTAAGTTGTTACACAATGCATCACACATGATCCTAATGCAAATTCTATCATACATAGGAGTGGGTCGTGCTGGTGTATTCGCTTGCTGTTGGCTACTAAGCAACCTCTACTGCCTCTCCGCTGAACGTGCTATTCGCTATGTCCGGATACGAAGAAGCCCCAAAGCGATCGAGACCATGCGACAAGCCGAGTTTATCATCCATTATTCACAATACGTTGTTGACGCCATGGAACGGAAACAAACCCATCGTCACTATTATCAATCAAAGATGTTGCATCCTTCGGCTCCCGTATCACCAACACATGTCGATATACAATCCCTCTCATTAGAACAGCCACAACCCCTCCGAATGTCTCATACGGATTATACTTTAACGGTGCCATCCCTTTCTGATATATCCAATCTCGAACGCTCGATGCGTATCGGTGATCAAGATGAGTTGATTGATGATGTCATTAGACCACTATCTACACCACCACAACACCAATAACAACAATACATTTACTTTGTACATCATCTTATTCGCAGTAATACCTTTTGCACGTGTATCATGTTCCTCTTTGCAATCATTGTCTCTCACTTGCATCCGAATAAAAAGACATGTTGTTTGTTTAGAGATCGTTGGTTGTAATGCGCATCTCCTCTGCAGGGTCTTCTTTTGTTGGATAACACACACACAGCGGGTATCGGAGGACACAATATGGATACAGCACATGCACACACACACAAAAGAGTCATTTTAGATTTCCCCCTTGACAAACACAAAATGACGATGGATTACACGTCAACATTCTCGAGATTGTATACCTTGCGTAAAGGTGCATGTCAGTGGTGGGAGGGGTCTCCGATTCAGACTTGTGCTACACTGTGCTCTTGTACCACCAGTGCAACTCATGCAGTTGCATTGTTCTCCGCAAGTGCATCATCATCGTAGATAGCAGAATATGAATTTGTCTTGATACAAAAGTGCCACATCATGGATCCTTTTTCCGTTTCCATGGAAACCTTCTTAATCCAGTATTGCTTTTATGATTTACATCTTCTCAGAATAACAATGGCAACGAGCGTTAGTAGTACTATGTGGAGGCGTAGGGTGATGCACCAAATAACATACAATGCACATCAATATCAACATTTCCTATAGTCAGCTGGATGCTCTATGGGGGCAATATAACGCGTGTCAGACTAAAAGGCACCTAGACGTGCATATCCATATATCCAATTTTCCCACTTACCACACAACCACAACCACACCCCCCCTTGCCCTGCATTGTCTCCTACCTTAGCTCCTTGGGCTACCACCACCTCCCCACCGTATTATTCTGGTTATGAAAAAAAAAGTTGCAACGTATCTCCTTTATAACCTTTTTTCGAGTTGTTTACTTGCTCGCTTCCTTCGTTTCTCTTCTCTTCTACTCCCTCTTTATCCACCTAGGAGTCTCCAGCTATTCGAGAAGGAGAGGCAAAGAAAGAGCGCCAAAGATAAAGCCACATCCTTGACATAGACACCACGCCCTTTATACCCATTCATCATCCATGTCGTACACAGCCGTTGTAGCAAAACCCATACAGTTGACAACAACAATGGATGATCACCAGGTACATAAAGCGATTATCTATTCCCAAAATAGCCCTATTGTCTTGCTAATAGCCTGTTGCTATGACACGTTTATAGATATTTAAAGGACCACGGTACTTGCAAGGCAAGCAACAACAACAACAACGACGAATGAATAACGAACGACCACCACCACCACCCATTCAAGGACCGAAAAAGGTCCACACTCAAAACAATGAGTCTAATGCAGCAGACAATACCATCCAATGTAGACCATCATCATCATTTTATCATTGTAATGGTGGTTCGAGCGATCTACGTATAAGACCTAGCAGCATGCAACATCGTCGCCACACTTACCAATTATGCTGCAGCACCAGTAGTCGAGATCTTGCAAACAGGACTACTTTACAACAACACCATCGAACCAACAGCATGAGAACGTTGTTGCCACAGCAATCGTATTCTTCTTCTTCTTCCACCAACATGCGTCATCATCATCATCATCACCCACACACACTTAATACCTATACCCCTCAGCTTGATACCGAAAAGATTCACGCATCAAATCCCTTTGTGGCTATGGATCATGAGCAAGAGAGTGGTGGTCCCTCTCCCTGTTTGCTGCATTGTCAGCCGTCAAAAGTCGCCACCAGTGGTTCTAATCTATGTTCTCCTTGTTCCTCTTCTCCTTATCAAAGTGCATCCACCACATGTAGTACTACAAGTAGCCACCATTGTTGTCCTTCGGATGATTTTTCATGCGATGGATCCACCCTTGCTGCATCAGAAGAAACTTTGGGCAGTAGTAGTAATAGTAGTAGTCCTACTATGGTGATGCCACCACCATCCCCTCGACCTACTCGATCCTCCTCATCACGTATCAAATCAGCGTTTTCCAAAATCATGGTTACCCAGCAACAACAACAACAACAACCATCATCATCATCCTCCTCCATGACAAAAAGGCAACAGCAGCAGCAGCAGCAACTACCTATACCAGCACCTACCAAGAGTGCCTCCTTGGTCGAACGCATTCGTCTCAAATTTCAGAAAAACCAGCAACAACAACAACCTGTTGTGGTTGTTGCTGCTGCTGGTATGCATAAATCACCTTCCATGACCCGATCATCGTCCTTGTCATCCATCACATGGGCACGTTTACGAAGCAAAAAGCAAGTAACACCTTCGTTTCATGAGGATGAACAACCTGCTGCTTCAACCGCCATGGTGGTGGAAGAAGAAGATCATCGGCCTCTTGATCAAGTCCAACAACGTCAAAGACGTCGTCCACAAGCTCCCAAAAAACACGCTTCAGCATGTTCAACCCCACCTCGGCCTTCACGTACAACACGTGTACGATTTGCTCAAGTGGTTTCGGTGCATGAGACGTTTTCTCAAAAGGAGTATGATCGTGGATCAGGACCTGAGGATGTGGTGTGTACGCAATTGACGCCTTCGATGGCCCACTATATCAAGGAAGAGCTCAACCAATTCAAGTTGTATGAAATGAAAGTCCATCATTCAAGTCGTTCCCATACCCACTTTTTCATGTAGTCGTTTGTTGTTGTAGTAATGGAGATTTTATTTTTGATTCATTGAACTATCCGTTTCATATATATACTACTAGGTTTTTCATTTTGGAAAGATATCTACAGTTCCGAGATCCAAGCTAAAGCATACAAAATATAGTAGATCGCAAATGGGCGAAAGAATAAAGAAATGCTGAGGGAGGTTAGGTTCCTCAGAGTATAAAAATCTACAGACCATCATCATAAGTTAAGAAAAGGTGGATGGGCGGGATAGAAGAGAGATAGAGGTGATGTGATGTGAAGGAGGTGGGTGGGTGGGTTGATTGTGTCATAAAAGAATCACACACAAAAGCAGCGAAGAAAACAATATATAAAGGTGGTGGTGTGAGTTTGGGGTAAGACGAAAAAAAAGACAACAGAGCAAATGGGGATAAATAGAAGAATAATAGACAAAGCGTGTTCGCATAAAGGTTGGTTTGGTTCTTGGAAAAGACCAAAAGAGTCGTACAATGGAGAAATAATAGACACGTTCGAAAACGTCGCACCATAAAACTTGATGTCGAAAGAGCGGGATGAGAGCACACGTTTTGAGATAGCAAACAGGAAAGTGTGGGGGTGTTTTTCTAAAAACACGTAAACATAAAATGTTCGATGGATAAAGGCTTTCCTTTCTCTTAGAGAACAGCCATCATGGGCAGTCCTCCGTGTACGTCCATTGCCGTCGTAGTGGTCCTGTTGGCAGAATGACGACATGTTCGCATCACTAAAAGTTATAATCCATGTAAGCAAAACATACGTACAAAGAGAGCAACCAAAAGAAACTTACAGTCATGATGATATTTCGGATCCAACCTTTGATTGAAACACGCAATGGCAACTTGCAAATACAAGGTTGCAGCCGGTAGAAGCCACGTCGGATCTAAAGTAAGCAACATGTAAGATAACGTTTTTGATGGTGATCCCCCAACCCAGCCCAAGTAGCACATACCATGATCAAAAGACGCGTGGATTCCTGGTGGTAGTGGTGATGATGATTGGACTGTTGTTGGTATTGTTTCCATTACCATCATCCTTGGCAGTGGATCATGTCCCATATGACTTGTAGTAGTATCACCGGTACATGATGATCGTGGTTGCCATGGTGATGAACTTGTAGATGCTGCCGCTGGTGGTGATGGTGGTGATGATTCATCTTGAGCGATGCCTGATGCTTGATGATCTTCCTTGATAGAATCCAAACAAGGCTTCTTGATCGAATTGGTCTCAGGCAAAGTGGTCGTTGCCATGACATCCAAACATGGTGATGGTGACGATGGCTTGATCATCGTAAAAGAAGCTGCATCAGGCTTGGCAACAGGTGTTGTTGGAGATTGAGTAGGTGTGGGTTTCTCCTTCTCCTTGGGTTGAACGATAACAGGTGTTGCTGCTGATTTCTGCTTGAGAGGATCGGCAGGCTTGTTGTCATTGGCAGCCGATTTTTTGATGCGTGCAACAACACCCGTTGATGGCTTGATGGCTGTACTCGACACCACACGACGTTGTTGTTGTTGTTGCTGCGTAGACATGACATTGCTGTTTGTCTTTGTTGTTGTTGTTGCCCACACAGGTCGACGAGTAACAGGTGATGTTGGCGATGGTGGAGCACTCTTGATTTGACGAGATGTTGTTGTTGTTGTTGCATTAGAGCGCTTGATACCATCTTTCAATGTTGGCAATGATGCTCGACGTTGAAGTGTTGTTGTTGTTGTTGTAGGCTGCGTAATGGTGGTAGCCTTGAGTGATTGACGTCGTGCTGGTGGTGGTGAAGTGGTTGACTTGAGCTCAAGTGAAGCCAAGCAACCTGGATGCTTGCAACAATCGGCAGGCTTGAGTTGACGAGCATTCACCGTATCAGGGCTAACACCAATGTCCAATAGCATACGCACCAATCGTGGCATTCCATAAAAGCAAGCGAGATGCAATGATGTGTTACGCTCACCCCAAACATGATTGAGGAAAGAGTGCAACTCACTGGGCTCGGCATGTTGGCGCAAAAAGGCAACAATGCTACAGGCCATAGCCTCGTTGCGATGAAAAAGTGCCACTTGAAGGGCATTGAGATCCGTCACAGCTTTGCCAAAATGGCGAATGGCCTCAGTTCGAAGCTGCTTGTCAAATTGCAACACCTTGTGCTTGTGTGAAGCAGGATACATGCCGGCATCATTGTGAGCCCGTGAAGATAAGAGCGCATGCTTGACATGTGCAATGCGGTCGGGATCCTGTGAGAGTTGTTTCCAGGCTTGTTTATCGCCCGTAGCGACGATGTTTTGAATTGCTTTCCAGATCTTGTGAATCGAACAGCATGAAGCTGACGTGCATTTTTTGCTTTCGTGTTGATGACCGATGGCACTGTTGATGACCATATTGATGGCGCAAAACGAAATAGCTTATGTTGAGGAAGATGAAATGACTGATAAATACAAATTGGCTATCAACGGTGATGAAAAAGAGAGAGAGAGAAAAATGTACAACACAAAGGGATTAAAAGCACAAGTAGATGATGAGAAAATGGATGAAAGGATTAAAGATACAAGGGCTGGAAAGCGAGGTTCGACCAAACGGTGACAAGGAAAAAAAGAAATCTGTATCAAGTGCAGGATATTTATAAACCTTCCCAAACCCACTATCAAGACAATCATGTCATTTTAGTGTGATGTGCCGGTATGATATTAGTGATGGCAGCAGTAGTGAGTGCAGGTGTCACAATCCTTGCCACTTCCGGAATTCCGCTGCAAGCTATCATGTTATCCTCAGTATGTATACAAACAATACAACGGCTACAACCATGTAAAGGGTCGAGATCTCTCTTTCTCCTGTCGGGGCTTAAGCTCTTCACATTACATGTCGTGTGTGTGTGTGTGGGTATTATAGAGGGGAGCCATCTCTATCGTGTAAATAACAACATCCATGGTTTTGGAAAAAGACCGCCAGATCTCAAAGGTCATCGGGTCAATCATCATTCCAACGCGCGAAAAAGAAAGAGGATGTCATGGGGTGGTATGTATCAGGGTACAAGCTGCTCTACCCAGATCTGAAAAGCAAATTGCTGCTGCTGCAGCTAAGCTGGAAATTATACGTTGCAGCATGTTGTTGCATAGCACAAAGCTCATTTCTCATTCATGTTTGCAAATCCAATTTTTGGAACGCCCTTCACGATGATGGCCCGTACGTGTTGTTTCCAATACACAGCCCAAAGAAAAATCGTGAAACTGTGAAAAAACAAACACCTAATAGTATGCCCAATAAGATAAAGTGACAAGGTTACCGCCGGAGTGTTTGTCCGTGTACATTCAATAGCCCAGGAACAACAAGCCATCAGATTTTATGCAGCACATGGTAGCCAGGGGGAGAGGAAAGTGGGAGTTCCTTTTTTTTTGCTCCGGTGATCAAACAAGGACGCTGCAAAGCGGACCTTTGAAAAGAGAGAGAGAGTAGAAATGCATTTGTTTATGGTAACGCCATCATGGGCCCCGTCTCAGCATGCACATGTTATAAACAACACACACACACGCTTTCTTTCTCTTCAATTGATCTCCACCTTAAAATACCCCTCAAAGGAAAACAAGCCATGTGGTAAGGCGTGTGGATTGGCCACTTTTGCTCATTGCCCTGAAAGTATATCTCGGCGTTTTTCGTGTGTCAATGAAGATCAACATGGCCCTTACGCCAACACCTTGGAAATTAAGGAGGTTCCATTTCATGTAAAGTCGATCTCAAGGGGACTTTTCGTTTATAGGTAACGACTCCATTTCTTTATCTTCTCTCTTCTCTTGCTTTGGTGCTAATACTAAACTAATGATAATTGATGCAAGCAGAGATTTTACATGTACATAATGATGCATGGCCCCCCTCTCTCTCTTCTCTTTTTGTATACTAGATCCGCATTAAAGCATAACCATCCCAGCAGCAAACATTCAATATATATCTCAGTTGACCAATTGTGGAAACCTGCTTGACAGACACATGCATGGTATTATGTATGCACATGGTAAACAACATCAAATGCTTCGCATTCTCAGCACTTGCATTAATCTTTCCTCCTTTAACACCAGAGGAGAGGGGGTGAGACCCATATACGCACGACGGCGATGCATGCTATCAGGCCCATATCGTCCACTATGCCTTGTGATGGCCAAGGTATACAAGAATCCATCGTATCCGCAATATCTTGGATGATGTTAAAACGACTTTGAAAGAGGAGGAGTGGCATAAATTTTTGGGATCAACGTAGACTATGATGCGTGTAAGGCAACTTTGGGTTTTGCTATACCATTTCCAACAACATGCATGGGGTGTGATTTGGTTAAAGACTGACAGATATAAAACATTTTGGTTGCTCTTTTCCACCCCCTCTGGTGCAACATGACAACCATTTCAGGGACTTGAAACGTCCGGTGATCGTCAACTCTATGTACTCATTTCCCTATCCCAGCCTCACGTGATAACTCATCATTATTGTATTGCTGTGCCCAATTCCAAAAGTCAGTAGACCACATGAGCATCAACAGCTCGAATTAGCCCATAATCATTGTGGAATCCTTAATCGGTTTAGTTCTCCCGGTGATAAAGAAGGAGGATGACGCGTTCAATGGTTTTGAAACAGGTGCATATACATTTTTTATTACTATTCATCTATATGACGTAGGATCAACTAATCATCATTATTGCCATACCTTCGTATCGCATTATTAAATGGGTGTTTTATGTTTGCCATAGCAACTCCCTCACTTTGGTAAGGTTACCTTGCCATGGTTACTGTTGCAGTCAGCATGCACAGCGTCTACAATCATGCTCCACATTTCGCACTCAGAATTGGAAAGGGGCTCCTCCGCACCGCAAGTTGGCTTTTCTTTGTACACCTTGACACATGCAACACCGATGACGGGAACAGCGCTCACGAACCTTCGTATTGAATGAGACAACGGCATTGTGGTGCAAAAGTTGTTTGGACTTCATTGTGGACTTGAAGAGCCATCACCTACGCAAGATCTGCTTTGACATTAGTTTTGCCACTGATGGCTGTCGACAAGGCCAAACCATTGGACACATGAACCAAGTTACCAGCAACCGAAAACGCTGACGAGGTACTATGGATTTGATGGTTATCATCGCGTTGTTTAATCAGCATCCTTTACTATGATACCGTTTGCTCGCCTTTCATTGCGTTTGACATACGTGAAAACTATTGAAACGTCGACATGATGGAACCGATTGGAGGACACGTGCTCGTACTGCTGGAGACGCTGTGTACGGAATCAAAGGAAGTAGGTCTATTATCGTATGTAGGTAGATTGGGTATTATTGACGAAATAAAACGAAGATTGGGAGGCACGATACTTGCTTGTTGGATTCGGATCAACCATGCTGCTGGTGATCAGGGATGTGTGCTCTATTTATGATACGGCTTTGTTTCATGAGAGGATGTTGTACCTGCTACCTTTGTCAATTGAGGATTTACGCAATGGATATCATCACTCTCCCCGCGTCTTTTGTGATCAGAGAAATCCACCAACGCCCACCAGCATGCCAGGTACAAGAATGATGCCGTCGCTCACACCTCTCTTTTTCCACCATATCGCTCTTTGATTGCTGACATCTTCAAGGCCCAAGTTGACGTATCATCTTGGATTATTGCCCTGTGAATTAGAGCTGGTATTTATCTTTATTATTAAAATAATTGAATGTTGATAAGATGAAGTAATCCATAAAAGGAATAAGAGATAACCAAAAAGCAAATGAAGGCCAAAGAGATTTAAGAGAATGTTGTTAGTATCAACAACGAAAAACCACGATACCCAAATACCATCACTTACCCGTACTTGAAAAGCAAGCTCAACAAGCAAGGAACGCAGGGGTAAACCCCGCACCCGTCAGCTTCTCCGTGGTTAGGGGAGGGCCTCGGTAATGATGGCTGTGCCGTTGTTCTATCCTTGCTATTGAAAGATGTCAACATAAATCATACATCAGACATCAACTTGAAGACTTACCTTGCTGTGGATGATGGGGGAAGGGGAAAGTGCGGAGGCGAGTGACAAAGCTAGTGGCATAGGACTTGGTAGCAACAGGTGGCAGCAAGACGTTTGGGAGGGTGGCCGGGCTATAATGACATGGTTGCAATGAGTACATGGAAGAGGCATAACTTGAATGAGCCAGCAATACGAACCCCCGAAGATGATGTGTGTGTGTGCGTGTGTGTGGCCAGAGAGATGAAAGATAAAGGAGCGTGAGATAGAGAGCGTGTTCAATATTATATATCGTTTCTCAATGAGCACGGTCCCGCGGAAGGCGCCAGAAAAAAAAGTATCCCGTCATTCATGCGTCAATCCACACAGCATCCGAGAGTGTAGAAAAATAAAACAATGAGTCATCTTTATCGCACCTATCGGGTCCCCTCGCAGAAGCACACGATAAGGGTAAAAATGACATTTGTTGGGGATCAATGCATGAATTCAGGAGCATCACGAGTGACAAGCGGGAGAAAACATGAGTCCAAAAGTATGCCTCGACCTACATGGTCGCGTACAAACAAAAAGAAAGTGTCATTGTTGACCTTCATTGGTGCTGGGGGGGGTCTCCAATGACCGCATGTTGAGGAAGAAAAAATGTCCACCATTACTTTGTGAGAAGAAGACAAGCGAGTATGCGTCATTGTTGATCCATTGACGGTTGGCATCAAGGCGTTACAGGAATGTGGAAAGGTCGCTACATGAATCAAAGGATGCCAAGAAAAAAGTACATTGTGTCAAAATCTAGGGATCAATCTCCCCCTCCCCACAAACACAGAATCCCAACAAGAAACACTAATGTTGATGCATGAATCCATTGGTTCACGGAGCTACGAGATAAGGGTGGCGTGTCATTGTTGATGCATGAATCCATAGCTCAATGAGTATGGGACAATGGAATGTGACGGGGTCATTGGTTGTAGTAAAAGTACATCGAGTAGAGGAAAAGGTTGTATGCGTCATTGTCTGATTCTCGGCCCACATAGCCAAATGTAAGGAAAAAACTATACCTGATGCATGAATGTATTGGCTCATGGAGTAGGAGACAAGGGTGGCGTGTCATTATTAAGTCATGGACTCCAGGCTCATGCATGAGAAAGGGAGTATGTGAGGGGAGATCAACACAAACAAAAAATTACTGTATCTCGAGTAGCAAAAGGAAATGTCTAAATCTACATCTAGACTCACACGGCCCCACATAGAAAAAGAAGCTATTGTTTGTACCTGGAGTATGTATGAGATAAGGGCGCACCATTTTTGATGCATGAATCCGTAGCTCATTGAGTAAGGTAAATGGAATGTGAGTATCCAACAACAACAAGAATAAAGACACTATTTCTCATTAGTCTGATTCTCAGCCTGCACAGCATGCTGTAGAGAAAAAAAACTATGGTTGATGCATGAATGCATTGGTCCAAGGACCATGGGATAAGGGCGGCGTGTCATTGTTGAATCATAGATTCCAGGCTCACGCATGAGAAAAAGGAGCGTGTGTGTGGGGGGGGGGATCAACACGTAAACCAAACCTATCACGAGTAGCGAGGGAAAACTATAGAAAATGCCTAGACATCTAGGCCCGTATGGCCCTGCAGCAATAAAAGCTATTGTTTATGCATGAGTACACCAACACATGTTATGAGATAAGGTGGCGTGTCATTGTCCATGCATGGATCCCAGGCTCATGCAGCACGAGAAAAAAGAGACTGTGGGGACAGCACAAGAGTAACGTGGCGGGATAAGAGAAATAACAAACGCGCCCACATAGCCCTTTGTATGTAGCAAAAAAAACTTGCATCACAATGATGCATCAAATTACGTTTGTTAGCTTCCCTCCTTCCCCTATCGATTAGAAATCGCTCTCAATTGAAGAGGATAGCAGCAACAAGCGATGATGGTTGACTCTCAATGATATTTCAGTAACCGCATTACATGGATCAATGTGTACTGGAACTGTATGAGCGTGTCAAAAAAAAAGGGATCCCGGAAAAGCAGCAGCATCAACATCAGCAGGTGGAAGTCTCAAATGCGGGCGTCTACTTTTTCATGCTCTCAAAGAAAGGACTCTTTTTTATCCCATCACAATGACGCATCAGATTTACAATCATTGATCACTTCCCCTTTCCCTATCGATAATAAATCGCTCTCATTTGAAGAACATAGCAGTAATCAATAGCGATGGATGATTGTGAATGACATTTCGGTGATCCCATTTTACATGATTCAGTGTGTTGGAAGTCCAAGGGTGCGTCAAAGGGAGGCCATGTAGCAAGCAAATGAAATGTTACATTGCATGCATGTTCGCGCATAAAGAATCTCTCCTCTCAACCGCATTCTTACAAGTATACAAGTCTATATTATCAAAATGATTGTGCTCTGTAATGACGTTACTCTTTCAAGTATACAAAAAAAAGAAACCCAGATAAGAAATCGCCATCGCAACAGACATCGTCCAGAATACTTCCAAGCGAATCCTTGCTAGCGAATAAAAGCAACAAATAAGTCACTATGTAAAAGTAAAGTAAATCTCATTCGGGGATGGGTGGATGGGTGGTGGGATGAGCGGGTCATTTGCAGCACACATAGTGGTAAGCCGTTCCACACAAAATCGATGTTTGCGAGCGAAGCGAGCCAGTTGGCGGCCTATATACTCATTAAATAATAAACGTTGCAGTAAAACGGGCATCCCATGCCGACAAAGAGAAAAAGAGAGATAAGAGAATGCTAATCCCACGTGGCATTGGCAGTTAAGACGCAACAATGCATTTACCAACCAATGGGTGAATAGCATCAATACACATAAAGTCTAAAGATAAATTTGGTGTTGTGCATCCATTTTTAAACGTAACTTCAAAGATGACCTTACATTCCTTTCGACGCATTGACCCATCCCGAACCCCCCGTTTAGAATAGCAAGCTAGCCACGGCAAGCGATGGTCCGATTTTTTAGTCACACCTCCGGATGCACTATCCATGAGAGGCTAGTCGCGATAAAATGATCGGTGGTAGTGTGGTGGTACAAGTATAACAAAAATTGAGAGAAAGAGAGAGAAAGTGTGTGTGTGTGTGTGGCTAGAAAGCTTGTACCTGCAAATCCTGGTATACTTACTCACGTGAGAGAATCTTATGTATTGCAAGGAAGAACGGCAAGCAGTGTAAACGGAATCAGCCGTGGATGACGTAGATGGGTGATGATGTGATACATGCTTAGTACGTGGGCGCTGTTGTCAGCCACATTGATCAAGCTGATATGCATTCATGTACATGTTATTGAGAGAGCCACCAGCATAGTATGGTTGTGGTTGTGGTTGAGGTGGAAAAAGTGTGTGTGCCTTATCATGGTTGGCCAACCCCTTTTTGAACAACGACTCAGCTTAGTGCAATTACATTCCGTCATTTGTTATTGTCATTGACTATCTGGTGGTATATCTTTCATTTTAGACCACCCATCAAGCTATACCAAATAGGGTGATCTGACGATATTTATTGCTTACCTTTCTTGCCCTGCTAATAAAAGTGAATGGCTTCCCAAACTTCAAGAGCGTAAAACGACCTTCTTCGGAAACAATCGGTACCTTTTATGAGATATCTGTGTAAGAGAAAGATCATAGCGCTGGTATGACAAAGAAAAAAGTGCCTGGTTCTAAACTATATTGTGCGACATGAGGTTCATTTGCATGTTTTATATTATGGACCTCGTCTTTTTGCCAAGTCAAGCATCCAGGGTCTACAAGTAATTGAAATATGGAAATGGGCTAGTGGCTCGGCACATGCTGTCATATGCAAGTTGCTTTTGTTGGCTTGCAGCAGCAGCAGCAGTTATGAGCCTTACCAATGCATGCATGGAGCTTGTTTTGGAAAGGCTCCTTTTTGGTTGCCACAACATTACAATCAGCCCTGGGATTAAGATTTTTCTGCGAGCCCAGCCCCTTGCATTGTTGTTGTAGATCCCTCTTCGCTGCATCGTGTCATTTTATCATTATCATCATCTCCCCGCCACGAGTAGTGGATGATCCATTACGGCATGATGCGATCGATCTTGATAAGAGTGACATGGTTCTACTACCATTTATTGGTTGTGGAGTACTTTTATGTACAAAAGAGCAGGACGACGCTTTTGTTTTCTGTGTGAAAGATAAATGTGGGAAGGTCCTCCAAAGATGAGTTACTGTGCAAGAAATCCTTCTATGTCATAAATGGGAACCATGGCTTCGAATGATGATGATGATGGTGGCATAATAGTAGTAGTAGCCAAGAAGGCACAGAAATAATAACCGCTTTATCTTGGCACAGCCAACAAGGTCACATGGCTGGCTGCATACATAGACTTTTGAGTAATAATAGATTGCTCCCCCATTTGTGTGGTGCATAAGTATCCTTGGCAATAGAAAAGTAAGACGTGATTCCCATTGTATGGAACAACAACAAGCTTGCAAAATCATTTGAGACGGAGCGGCTGGGGATGGATGTGGATGGATGGTGGTCGATCACTTTCCAGACCTGATTTACTCAGGGAATCCCGGATAGGATTTAGAGCACGACGAAGATCCTCCAAAAAAAGATAGTGCTCGTGGTATGTGTTCAAATGATGAGTGACAACTGCATTTGGGGAAGGGGGTGGAAAACAAAGAAACAATGGTAGTGGTTGCTGAGAGCCAAACTTTATGGGATTGTCGGCCTCCATTTGATCCAAGAGGTTTCAAAACATTTTTGTATAGAGAAAAAGAAAGCTTGGCAAGTCGAAAAAGCAAGGTTGTTTTGGTAAATGACATCTTTTACAGAGACGGCTTAGGTTTGGATCGTCGAAATGATCTAAACAGACGTGTGTGATACAAACATATACTTTTTTTTTGGTTGTCGGTTGCACGTTTCTAATTTTGCTTCAGCGATGTCCAACGACATGCTTGTATTCCCTTCACGTTGTGGATCCCGCTTCTTGTCTCTCTTTTCTCGGTGTCGCTCACTCGTTTCTTTTTCTTTCTCGCTTCTCTTTCCATTGCCTTGTGAGCAAAAATCGTTATCAGTTGCTTGCAGGAACAAAATAGCCTATTCACCACGACGACCCCCCTTTGTCTCCTACTCTCTCGTTCACCGCCCTGCTCCTTTCTTTCCTCAACAACTCCTCCCCCGCATTGCCAACTTGATTGTAGGGAGCCATGCGTGATTCGTTTTTCAAAATGTTTGGCTCTGTCAAGCTTGTACAAGAAGTGTCGCGATCGTCGCCTTCATCACAGCCTCAATCGTCGACTCATCTGACAAACCAGTCATCAACAGCAGCAGCAGCAGCACCGCCAGCACCACCACCACCGCCACAAGTATCGCATCATCATCATCAACACCCTCTTAGTATTGACACCAACGTGCATCCTACTACTACTACAACAACAACTACAACAGTGGAACGGAATAGTGAACCGCCTATTACACAATCACCGACGACACCATCATCCTCGCACAGCTCGTATTGGCCACCGCATTCTGTGCAGCCAATACCGCTTACTTTTAACAGTTACACACCCGCGACTCCGAGTTTGCCTATGTGGATATCGTCATACAGCTCAAAACAACCAGCTGCTCGGGGCATTAGAGAACTTTTATTCGGCTCATCCGCTACTACAACTACTACTACTATTACACAGCCTTCTTGTGCATCAGCCCCAATGACATCAACAACAACATCCTCTATGACAGCTCCTCGGCATACACATACTCGTCGTGGATCAAGAAGTATTCGACGCTCAAGACAATTATCCATCAAAGGGCATGGTCGACGTCCAAGTAGAACATGGTCATCATCCGCTGTCATGCGTCCACTTGATAGTAAGGATAAATCCAAATCCCAAAAACTTTTGTGTCTATGGCCGCTTCCCGTCATCACACGCTACACAATCGCTTTATCATTGCTTGTCTCCGCTTTTCGGTTTGCAAACATACTCAGCGCCACTTGCTCAGCACCCTCTTTTGTGATCTATCGTCATGAATGGCTGAATCTTGCTCTATCGCCCTTTCTATTCGATTGGTCTCTCCATGGTTTGCTTGTCTTTGGTTGGAATGTGCTGATCCTGGGATTATTCGAGGAATCATTGACACACATGTTGGGCGGTACACGCCGTTTTGTACGCGTCCTCGTTTCCATCGTGATCAGCGTGTGTCTTTTACGCCAGGCTCTTGGTTATCTTTTTTCTAAATCCACTGGTTGGGCGGTCCCATTACTCTTTTTCAGTGACTCGGTGCATGAGTGTAACCAAGGTAAGGTATACAATGGGATAATAGGAGTATATGTATATATCTGATCCGGTTACACCTATTAGGCATTGCACCCTTTTTATTTGCATTGTTGATGGTACAATCACTCAGCATCGATGACAAGTATATTGTGCTTTACGGAGATGCCGATCCGAATCACAAATTGACCGTGCGTAAGGTCACGTTACAATTGCTCATGTGCCTTGTCAATTATTTGGTCAAGAACATTCTGTGGTGGTCATTGACAGGTCTTTTGACTGGCTACGTGGCAGCTATCATCATCCAAGCAACCATCCTTCGAGAAAAACGTGGCATCGCTACTACAACAACGGCACCCACAACACCCACCCATACGACTTGGGATGATAAGGATGTTCCACCTGCATTTGAGGAATTCCCAAGGGCTACACCTTTGTGGCGCTTACTCTTGTCAGCTTTCAGAAAAGCCTTCACCGTGATTGCCGTGACATTGCCCTTGTTGTTATTGTTCAATGCCTATTACTACAGCCAAGAGGGTCTCGTGGATTCCACTATGCTGAATCAACTTTCGCATGATCGCTACATGTTCACCTTTGTTGTCATGACGGCTCCTCGACGTGGTGAACCACCCTTGCTTTCTCGTACAATTGAGTCTTATCTCGCCAATTGGCCTGTGGATCCTGCACCTGGTTCTCTTCATAGTCGTCTTCAGCTGATGGTCTATACCCACTTTAGCAACCATTCGCAATTTGATGCCGCTAGGGAACGTTTCTCGAATGATCTCAAAGGCCAACGCTATATCAAGTGGGTACGTGAGGAAGGCAACGAGATGAATCAACGTCTACACGTCTCCAAGGCTTTGCAATTGGCAACCGAGAGCTTCCAGAGTACCTATGTCGCTTTGGTTGAAGATGATTTCCCCATTTGTGGATCGGATGCTTGGCACCAGCTGGAACATGTTGTATATCAAGCCAATAAGCATACAGCTAATCACTGTGGTGTCTTTGTTGGTACAGGTGGAAGGTAATTATTTCATGAGAGGGAAAAGAGGATGAAACATGCATCTCACCTAGTTATATATATATACAATAGTGGCCTATTCCTTAAGCCTGAAACTGCTCAGTTGGTGTCTCGACTTTTGCTTCAATATGGTGATACACCTCCCGATATTGTGATCCAAAAATGTCTTCGAGGCGAGTTGGCCGAATGTAGCCATTGCCAAGATTCACTTGTTACTAGCAAGACACTTCTTATGTACCATATTGGTTTCAACACATCTACCAGCACGGATCGTGTGTATAAGAAGGATGAATTCCAGTGTGGTTGGCGCCATCCCTTTGTAAGTAAAACGCGTTGGTTGGTTTCAAATTGGGAATAGGAAAGCTCATTGTTTCTATTAGAATGGTGACCCAAGTGTTATCACGCTGTAAACCATTTTACTGTATGCAAGCTATAGACGCACGGCAATTTACTCTTTGCCCTTCAAGCACGATACCATTATCTATTTTTCTTTTTCATGTTTCTTTCTTGTCCTTTTGCATGTACCACAAACCCTCTCTTACACTCATCCCTATCGCTTAATGGTTACTTAGTTATCTTTAATGCCCTTACACATCCATCTATATATACATACACGCACCCACCCATAGCTTGTATAATAGTCAAGGCTTTCTCTGACATGCCTATTACAACAAAAAAGAGACGATCGAAAAACTTAAAAGCATTAAAAACGATCTAAAGAGATGCACCTAGATGGGATGAAACTGCAGATGTGGATAAAAAGGCAATGACAGGTTCCAAATCAAGCACAGCACAACGTGAAGCACACAAAAAGTGGCTAGCAATCAAGGAGAAGGTGTGTGTTGGATAAATCCCCATCATCCTTCTTTTATTCTTTGGCTGATCCCTTCTCTTTCTCTCTCCTTCTCTCTCTCTCTTTTTTCTTTCGTTTACCCGTTCGTTAGCTCTTATGGCTCCACAGGGTCCAGCTTACGAGATTCGTTTCTGCAAAGACAATGTACGTTTGACATTGAGGCACAGCATGGCATGAGCTCACTACGTAGGCATTGTAGGTCGTCCAAGTATTTGACCTGAGCACAAGACATGACCATGAAAAAGGACTTCCTTTTGGTATGTATGAAATGCATATAAGACATGAGGAACCTTTTTTAATTTTCTTTCTCAGAATACGATGAAGATGATGTCTTACATGGAAGGCTACGTTATTCCAAGCTTGCTGGCAACCGACCTCTTTCTTCAGCAACATTCGATGATAATCCCCACCAAGTCATTTCAACAAGACGTGTACGAGTACCACAGGATATCCTATTACAAATGGATGGCAACCGAAGATCCTTGATAACGAAGAATGGACAAACGTGTATCACAGATTGTGCAACCACGAGGTCTGTTTCAATCATTAGCAGCAGCATTGTTGATGATGATGTTGATGATCAAGGCCGCCCGCTATCCTTAACGGCAAGTACGATTTGCAGTACAAAAGAGTGGGATGATCGCATTGGCCCTTCTCATCTTCCAGTATCCTCAACAACACCCGCCATGTCAACCAACAGCAGCAGCAGCAGCAGCAGTAATGATACTAGTAGTAGTATGATCAAGCCATCATCTTTGCATGAAAATCATAGTCCGAACAAAGACGGCGAGGCACCACGACCATTACCCCCTGTGTCGCCTCATCCGCAACAGCACCAGCACCAATCACTTGTCGAGCAAGCTCGTGCACCTTCAAACAATGAACATGCACACGTGTCTCCATTACCCGCTGTTCATAGCAGCAACAACATGCAAGCCAATAACATGTTCGCATCAACACCATCCTCCACCACCATCCAAATGGATCAACACCATCCTCCCGCCATTTCCACCTCAAAACAACAACAACAACAACATCCCATGCCTTTGGATATGGATGAAGAGCGTCCTGCTGGTTCAGCCTGCTGTTGTATCATTTGTTGAGTCAACTTTTTTGCATTCTTTCACTCGCTTAGTATCCTCGTTTATACCATTTTCATTTGTATAATATTATTCATTAGAAATACTCTTTTTCATCCTGTCACTTGTAAATTTATCATTCTATATTTGCACACAATGATGTTGCTTGTTGGTTGAGAAGTAGAGTGTGGCTTTTTCGGTACGATAGCTTAATACATTGAGCACAAAAGGAGTAATAGCACTAATGCAGGGCATCTCAGAGTCCCCATCTGTGAATCACGGATGAATGCACACACGTGTACATAGTACCTCGAAATGATGCTTATTTTTTTCAAGTCTTGGCTATGACCATGCGGCTGAATACATGGATCAATAATGCATGAATATAGATAGAATGAGATGATCGACATTCATTCTTCTCGTGCGTGCGGCGGTGTATGTAATTTATCATTGTAAGCTTTAACTTGCATGATCCACTACATACAAACACGCTTTAATTTCGGCATCCCCCCCTCCTCCCCCATCATTGGGGTGGTTAATTATTAAGGCACTATCGTATCATTCAATCTGAAACAATCACGTACATACATACATACATACACCACTCCATGTAACAAAAATAGCGGTGGATGGTCAACAAATCGATCTTTTGCGCGATGATGATAAGGAGAACAATGGGAGTTTTCTTTGCAATGCAACCATATGGTTGAACCCTGCACCAAGGATAAAGAAGAGCTGGTTCATTTGCGCACAGGTGCACGTACATCCTCTCCTCCCGGATCTCCATTTTATTTCTTCTTCCATCTACTACCACTACTACTACACTTTTTGCCTTTCTTCCTTTTTCCAATTTTGTTGTGTGTACAAGTATACCATAATTACTACTCGTTGCCATGATACCCAATTCACGCCAACTATTGACCGATACCCGACCGGTACCTAATACCCATCGGTTCTCGTTTTCACATCAAAGCGATTATCAACGCATCGATGGTACAGTAATTTGTGGGGTGGGAGCTATACATAAGCACTCATCTCATTGATGCTATGTATACATTTCATCAGATGAAGCAGCTGCCATGGCACAGCAACAACAACAACAACGAAAATTTAGCAGCCGTTTTCTGCCAGATGCTAAACGCAAGTCGCGTCCAAAATCATTACCAGTTGCAAACAATCCCACACCACTACCACGCTCAAATACAAATCCATTGACAAGGGTAAAGTGCCTTGATGATGGTGGTGTAACATACAATGGTGATGAATCTCATCTTTGTTTATTTTAGTCGTTGAACGCATTGATCCAAAGATTTCGCAGGGTATGGAAGAAAAGACAAAAAAGGGAGAGGGGTGGGGTGGGATGGGGAGGAAGGGTGCTGCTGCTGCTGCTGCTGCGGGAGGGGTATACAATGGGGTTGGATGCACGAGATGAAAGGGATGGAGGGGATGATAGTATTATTACTGCAGCAGCAAAATGTGTGTTGATACAGACCACCACCATCATCACCTCCTCGTTGTTCATTGTATGTACTGATAATTTGTGCGTGTTTGTGTAGAAACCATCAACAAGCAAAAAATCAACCGCCATTCCACTCCCTAATCCTGCGTTGCGTGGTGCTTGTAATACCGCTTTGTATTGCCATCATCATAATGGTTCTAGCAGTAGTATTAGTAGTAGTACAAGTGGCAGCATCTCACCTTCACCATCAATATTCAATGGCAATAACAACAACGACGAGATACCAACAACAGCTGCGAAACGAAACAGCATGATGAGTCGCTGCAGCAACGTTACTACGACCGGTCATTCCATTTACAGCACCTTCCCTTGTAACGATATTGAGGAGGAGGAACATGATGATGATGATGATGATACCAGTGAACAATGGTCACCACGGACATCTCTCATCAGCAGCAGCACAGCACAAATGCAGCAGCAGCAACAGCAGCATCCATCAGCAGATGACTTGCATATGCAGCCTGAATGCACATCACAGCAACAGCATGAGATGAGTGTTACAACATCAAACCAAGACCATCCAAGGATGACAGAAGATTGCAAAAGTCTTCATAATGACCAGCAGCACAACAACAATGAAGAAACGGACTCGGCTATCGATATTGACTCGATACGTGAAGTAGCAGAACGGTTATGGGATGATGATGATACATCCATATGCAGCTTGGAAGAAAGAGCTGAATGGTTAGGCACAAGGTGAGAAGAAAAAATGGCATGTGGTAGCTCATCATCCTACATGTACTCATCAAATGAATGCATCAGCAGTGATAGGTTCAGGGCACAAGTACTCAAGCATTACATGTCTCGCTTTGATTTCACATGTCAACGATTGGATGCAGCGTTTCGTACATTGTGTGGCAAGTTGTACTTCAAGGCAGAAGCACAACAAATGGATCGCATCTTGGGCGCTTTTGCCTACCGGTATTGGGAGTGCCATACCAACATGGTGCACGATGTAGGTCCACAAAAGACATTTGGTAGTCCAGGTATGTATCATTTAATTGCAACATGGATGGCAACGCACTCACTCTTTTACAGATGGTGTTTATGCAGTTGCCTACGCTATTTTGTTACTCAATACGGATTTACATGTTGCTCATCAAGGCAAAGGGGGTAGACATAAAATGTCTCAGTCCAAATTTGTACGCAATACCATGGCAACGCTACGCGGCCTTGGATTTCCATCACCACCACCACAACCACCAGCAACAACAACCACCACATCGATATCCTGCTTCTCACTCCCCGTGCATTTTGTATCACCCTCGTCTTCAATACAAGAGACACCACTAAGAGCAAGCGAAAGCACTGTATCCACCTTGACCTCTTCCAACATTAGCTGCAGCACATCAAGCCATATCTCACTCTGGCCACTTGAACGAAGTCATAGTTTAACGGGCAGTAGTAATAGTGGTGTGCACCACCACCACTACCCACAAGAATCATCATCATCATCACCACGTCGTCGACGTTGGACATACACTTTGGATCCACGTAGTGGTGGTGGTGGTGGTGGAGGTACAAGCTCATCCAACAGAAAACAAAAGCATGGCAACAACAACAGCAACAGACGACGACGCAAGATTAGCGTAACACCTACTCAAAAAGCATGGATGACTGAGATGGAGGCATTACTCAAGGTATGTATGGGAGCAGCAGGGAGGTGTGTATAGTGATTAACTTGCGAATCTACATACATCAGGATATCTACATCTCTATCAAGACACATCCAATTGCACAAATGTCTCCAACAGCAGCAGTGAATTCTACTACTACTACTACGTCTCATCTTTCATCAAGCCATGAAACCAACATCAACCCACCCGGTGGTGTGAAAAATTCAAGTGTTCGTAAAGAAGGGCTTTTAACGCGTAAGCATGTGATGGAATCAAGAGATAAAAAAGCACGACAACGTGGATGGCAATTATGCCGTGTCGTAGTACAAGAAGGGAGCATGTACTTGTATTCAGCCTCCCCATCCTCTTTATCATGTTCCCCCTCCTCCTTCACTTTGGATGACAATGGAAAACGACGACAACGACAACGACCTAGAACACTCAGCACCATCACCCACACCTACTACTATCGTTCTTTTCGGTCCAATAGCACGCAAATCAACCTCAGGCATTCATTGACAACAGCCATGCCTTATGCTTCAGGATGTGGTCAACAACGTCCTTTTGTGTTTTGTGTTAAAACAGCCGATGGTGCCGTATGGTTATTTGAAACATTGACATCCGAGGCGGCACATGAATGGACCCAATTATGCAATTATTGGGCAGCTCGATTAAGCAAGGAACCTTTGGATGGGGCTATTTGTAACCTCGATTATGGATGGGCTGACATGACAACAACAACATCTGCCACCATGATCCATGATTGGACCCCACCGGCTCCACCATCCACGCTATCCAGTCGTTTATCCCCATCGGATCAATTGGTCATGCTTCAACGACGTATTACTCTTCTCGAGCAAGAGCTGGATCAACATCGTACGTTTAAGGACCGCATTTATCAAAGAGTAAGTAATAAGGGGACGATAGTGTAACATGTTCATATAGACTCAAAATGGTCTGTTAAAGTTTGCAGGATCGTATTACAATGCCAGTCAACGGAAAAAGGCGCTTGATAATTGGGAATGCAAGGCACAATATCTCATTCAAGAAGTGATCAAGATGCATACTTACCATGATACGCTCCTCCATCATTATCCAACAACATCCTCATCATCCACCACTTGATCATCATCATCTTCATGTGTATGTACGAATAAAAAAGAAAAAGCATTGAGAGATTATACAAGTTTTATACTTTTTGAAAGGGGTGTTGTAATTGAAAAGCTTATATGGATGATGATGATGATAGCAATAACAAGACAACGGTGCTGATGGTAATAGAAATGACAAACATCCATGGGGTTGTGGCAGCCGTGGATACATGGAGTGGACCATATTTGCCGACTGTGTCATCGGGATAAGGTGCAGATTGCGTTGGATGGAAACTTGAAAGAGAAGAGCTGCTTGGTCGATGCGCTGGTGCAGAGAAATGGGTCAAAAAAGACATGGTTGTAGTTGATGTAGTAGCTGAATCATTCGAGGATGAGCTTGTACTGCTGCTGCTGCTGTTATCATCAGAGGTAGGAGTGATGGTACTATTGGCGGATGAGCTGGTGATGGTGCTTGTCATAGAAGGAGAAGAAGAAACTTGAGTCGATGGTGTTGGTGTGCTTTGTTGTTCTTGAGCTGTCACCACCATCACCATCACAATGAGAGAAGAGAAGGGCGTAAACCAGTGCATAAGAGAAGCGAAAGAGAGAGAGAGAGAGAAAGAGGAAAAGAAAGAAAAGAAAGAGGGAACGAGAAAAAGAGATACAACGTGAAAAAAAGGAGCAAAGGTAAAAGAGATAAGGGATGATGAAATGACAAGGAGAACAACAACCTCCTCCCCTTCATGGATAATCTCGTCTGTTCTGAAAGGCGGCCTTTTCTTTCAAAAGAAGATCCTTCTCACGTGCAAACATGGCTTCTCGTTGTCGCAGATCACCAATGTAATCCACCGCTACCATATACATGAATGCATTATTATCCAATCCTCCTCTTGTTCACTCTCCATATCCATTGAATACATTACCTTTGCTAAGGATTTCCCATTTGGATGTTTTGGCACCCTTGTCGATTGGAAGCACATTGAGTAAATCATCAAAGAGTTCTTTCATTTCCTTGCGACGTCGTCGTTCAGCAAGCTTATGGCTGGCTCGTAATTCAGGTGTACGTGAATAAGGTGTCATTGAACTACGGCGTTGATTGATATCATCATTGGCCAATGTTATCTTTGTTGTATGAATCGAATGCCGTCGTGTGCTTGGGTCATGGACGACTTGCTGCTGTTGTGGTGGTTGTGGTTGTAGTGATGGTTCAGCAGCCGTAAGGTGCTGTATGGACGGTAATGATTCACGTCGTTCACGGTCTGCTGTTGGGCTCATCAAGCCAGGCGAATGATGCAATGGAGAGGGATGCATGGGAAGAGTGGATCGAGTGTGAGTGACATGACTAAACGCGTGAATGGAGGGAAGCGAGGTGGTTGTGGGAGACGAGGAGGAGGAGGAGGAGGCGGAGTGTCCAACATTATGCAGGGACAAGCGTCGTTGCTCACTATGGCTGTTGTTCAAACTATAGTCGCTCGTTGTGCTTACAGAAGAGCTGCTCATTATGTATGTGTGTGAAAGAAAAAGAAAAAGAAAAAGAAAAAAGAAGAAGAAGGAGGAAGAGGATATGTTGTCTGTAAAACCGGTCTGGTCTCTTGAAAGGAAAGGACAACTCTGTTGAAAACCACGTTCTTTTCCTATCGATATCAACCAACCAATCATTGCATTTCCCAAGTCTGTCACTCTTTTCAATCGCATGGTTGAACATCTTTAATCATATGCTCATTGACGTCAATCATGATGCAATCTCTCTCTTCTCTTTCTGTCTCCTTGGATACTTAATGGCATTTGTTAACTTTTGGCTGACATAAGCCGAATAAACATTTATTCAACGAACGTCGTATATCAAAAGCATATCAGAGCGATCAGCGTGCGAAAAAAAAAGTCAAAAAGAAAAATACAGCCAGCAGTGGGTCATTGTTGGACATGGCCTATCATGACGACCATGTGCAAACCCAAGTCGCGTAGCCTACTTGTAGCGATCCATGTGATACAGAGCCATATAGCAACAACAACAACAATCCATCATTCATCTTCACGACTTTTTGTTTTATTGAGGCGGCGTTTCATATTTGTCCACACAAAAAAGACGTGGCTGGGGTTTGGGTGTGAATGAGTGAGAGAGAGAGAGAGAAAGGGGGGTCACAGAAGATGTATGCGTGGGGGCTGGGCGGGTGGTAGAATTTATTAAACCTCTTGACGTTGGAAGAAGACCACCAACAATTCACCATTCAGCACAATGGACTCCATCAGCAACGACCTTAGTCGAATGAAGCTCACACCTTCCTTAAAGGACGCAACACTCAAAGATTTGAATGCAGTGCAGAAGCCAACCTACGACAAGGATGCATTGAAAGAACGATACAAGATCTTGGGTCGTGATCCAGAACAAGGTAATGTATGCGAAAGAAAGAGAGTGGCGTTCAAGGGACATTTGTGTCTTTTAGCGCTGTTTTTACAGCGATAAAGTTCATGTTGCTCACATTAAAGTTACTATTCAGCTATACTAAACAGTATAAGGAAGGCATGTTATGCGACCCTGATCACTGACCATTTCGGCAAAACCCTTCAAACGATCAAAGCCAACTTCGTACAACGTGATTACGAAGGCATCTTCACCGCGGATGCTGAGCAGTTGCAAGTGTACAGTGCTGCCTATGTTCCTGGAAGAGCCCTATGCTACTTTGACATTTTCACCCATCATCAACCTTTGCTCAAGCTGCTGGCACGCCCTTCCTGCATTTACGCCGTTGGCTCAGGCAGTGGTTCTGAATTGGTTGCCTTGGCAGCGGCCATGACACGGGTGCCAGCTGAACGACAAAAAGTGCGTCTTGTCATGCAAGATTTGGGTGATTGGGGAGGTGTATTGAATCGATTCGAATCCACCACCGTCAGGGAACATATGAAAATTACACCCGAACAACTCGATTGCACTTACATTCACAATGATATCCTCGACCCCACAACGCACGAACAACGCGCTCAACGTATAGCCAACGCCGATTTGATCACTTTTATGTTTGTCATGAATGAACTCTTTGTTAAAAAAGCGGCTGCCATGGAACTTGTTCAATCACTGGTACAAAATATGAAAAAGGGTGCCTACTTGTTGGTAAGTTATCCATGGAAATGATATGGTTTGTTTATTTATTCATCTCTCGCTCTACGTATCACAGGTGGTTGAATCGGCTGGATCCTTTTCACATCTCAAGGTTGGTAACAAGACATACATGGTACACATGTTATTGGATGCTATCAAGGATTTGAAACCCGTCATTGCGGAGGATTCTCGGTGGTATAGGTAAGCATGAAAAAAGGTGACCACCACCACCCGCATTGTACTCACTCACTCACTCACTCACCCTATGGTTAATTTAGACATCCTGATCATTTACGATACCCGATCGATGTACAAAACATGCGTTACTTTATTCGTCTTTACAAAAAGCTGTAAATAGTTTCATTGGCATTTCATCATCATCATTATACACAATACAACCTATCATTGGCATGCAATACCACTCACGTTTATTAGAAAGGGATAATACAAAGGATGAGGATGAGGATGAGGATGATGATGGGGTGATGTGGTTAATCGCGTGTTTTTCCATGAGCATGATGGTACTAAGAAACAAAGAGTGAGCATCAAAGTAAAGGATTAGCCCTTCTCAATGACAACTTACTGGCAGCGTTGATTTGTAGTCTCCGGAACGAGGAGTAAGGTATCGCTATGAAATTACACTTGTGAGCAATAGGGATCGATCCTACAACAAGATACACACATTGCTTACCTTGATCTTGGGTGCCTTCATAAGAAGGAACAATGAAAGGGCAATGAAGAACAGCATGGATACTGAGAAGCCTTCTTGTTCAGGTTTTGTGGGTTGGATGGGAGGTGGGATCGTTGATGGGTAACGTTGAGGATTTTCATCTGGGAAAAAGTTGTTTGCATTGGCAAATTCCACTCTCTCATTTTGATCGGCTATTGATCCTGGCTGTTGTAGACTATCCAGAGCCTTCTCAAGCGATTGGTTGATCTCCTCGACGGTATTATCCACTTGATAATCATCCAATTTGATCATGCTGTCATCCTCCACGGTGGGTGGTAGTGCTGTGGATGGATCTTCAACGTCACTTGTTTCTTGCTGTGTCTGATAGGGTGGTAGTTGTTCCGTTAGGTTGCCATCATCTATTTCCATGGTAACAGTTTGTTCTTCTTCCACCTCATCGACAGCTTGGTCGTCGTTATCATCAAACGCTGATTTCTCATCATCACCAGTAGTAGTATCATGAGCTTCTTCCTCTTCCTCTTCTTCGGATGTTGAGTCGTCCCAAGGCTTTTCAACAGTCAATTCGCTATCTTCAGGTGTCTCATTCTCGGCTGCCTTGGTGCCATCATCATCACCGTCATCTTCAAGGTTGGCTGGCGTATCATCTTCAGCATCATCCGTATCCTCTTGTTCGGCCAAATCCAATGTTCCAGCATCATCAAAACCAGTATCTTCGCCCTCTTCGTTTACAGATCCTGCTGCTGGCTGCTGTTGCTTGTCATTATCCTCATCGATCCATGGTGTTTTATCATCGGGTGGATCAAGAATGCTTTGTTGTGTATCCTGTTCATCGACTTTGACGCGAATGATATTACTGTTACTATCTTGCTCTTCAAGGGGTAACTGTTCAGTGTCAAGATGCTCCTGCTCCTGCTGCTGCTGCTGGTCATCGTCGTTTGCAATGTCATCTCCAGTCCACTCATCGGCAAGCTCATCCACAACGTCTCGTTCACCTTCATTCAAAGTGTCATTGTCATCGTCTTCTTCTTCTTCCTCTTCAAAATCGTCGTTTGTGTAAGCTGGAGGAGGAGGAGCGGCAAATACGCCCGACATTAAAAGAACACTGCTGAATACAGCACCCGTTGCAAGTCGTTTTTGTTTGTTGTTGTTGTTGTTGTTGTTGCTAAGAAACATGATTCGAAAAAGGAGTGCCCGAAATAGAGAAAAGAACAAGCGAATGTGTATAGAAAGGAAAGGGAAGGGTGCACGTTGATATAAAAAAAGGGATAAAAAAAGAGAGAGAGAGAGAAAAAGAGCCAAGAGTTTAAGATGCAAGCTTGGTTTGTGATACTTTAGCGTTGCTGGGATATCTGTGTTACAATTGGCACATGCCATCGCATGTACAAATTGGCAAGAGACATCCTGCTAGTAGGTGGTGGTCACAAATTCATCATGTTGATAGTAGCAAGTAATAAATAGACAAAGTTTGGATATATAAACTCATTAGATGCTTAGATCGACATTTTCCTTATGTCTTTGTGTGTGATAAAGAGAGAGAGAGAGAGAGAGAGAGAGAGAGAGGAAATGGTGGAGGAGAAAATGAAAAAGAGAGGGCGAAAGGAAGGGGGAAGAGAGAGAAAAGCACTAAAAGTAGCCTGCTCTTTCCGAATATCTACTAGTTGGAGGGCTTCGCATACTATGTCCTTTGGGTGATACTGCATAACGATTACTAGCACCATAGGCATCAAGCGTGTCATCGCCATAGTAACGAGCGGGTGATCGTGAGCGCATGGAGGGGGGTGTAGGGCGTTCACTTCTATAGTACGATGATGATGATGGTGCATCTGTATCAGCATCGTAACCAGAATATCGACTACCACCACGGCCTGATGAAGAAGGTGAAGGATAATCATCATAGCGTGAACGGGTGCTGTATCGAGAGGATGATGATTCATCTGAATATTGTCGTCTAAATCTCCCCCGTTCCTCATCCATGGATGATGGTGGTGGTGGTTCATTGTTGTGTACAGGTCGTTGTTTACGAAGTTCTTCACGTTCACGTTCTCGTTGTGTCATTTGTGGCTCGTCATTGACTTCCCATAGTCGCTGCTTTCTTCCTGTTGTAGGTCGACGTGTTGCAGGAGGATGATTTCCAATTTCTTCAGGGCGCATGGGCTCATGGCTTTTGCGAGATGATACGGGCCGAGGATTACGTTCGTCAAATAGCCAATGGGGTAGTGGTTCATGCTTTTTCTCATAGTATTCTCGGAGTATACGTGAGACATGAGATTCACCCTCCCAGTCAGATTCATCTGATTCTGTAAGAAACAAATTATCAATGGATACGTCCTTCTCCTCATTCATTCTTATGTCTTACCAGGTCCACGATCATCCCTTGCGGGCATTTTATCGGCCACTGTCTGTGTTGCTTGAACAAGCTTGCCCCATAATTTGGCACTTTGCTTTGGTTTATCATCTAAAAGAAAAAGAAAATCAATCATCTCCATTCTCCTCATCCTCATCCAAGATAAAAGAAACTTACACTTTTCGCTTAATTGCTTCCATTTTTCATTTTGACGTACTTTGCCCCATAATTTCTTTCCAGATTGCCCTGATCCAGGTGAGTCTCCCCCCTCGGGAAGATGTGCAGCGAAATTGTTGAAATATACAGACTCTTCTTCATTATCAGGATCATTGGTATTGTTCTTTGTGGAGGGTGAACGTCCAAAGCGTGCTGTCCACTTGCTACCGGTCGTTGTGGTGGAGCTGGTGTCGGATGGGGTATTCAAGGTACTCGAGGATGATGAGGTTGATCGAGAACGGGAGACATTGTCATTGGTACGTGTAGGCACTCGCAGGCCATGGTGGTCATCAAGATTCGCTGGGAGTGGTGGTAATGGGGGTCGAATGACTTCCTGACACTTGTGTCGTGCGGGGTAGAGCCCTACGTCTTGACCACAGTCTTTGCAACAAACAACCACTCTGGATATTCGATAGTCTACAGCTTGTGCTCCCATGACAACGCGCTTATAAAAGATGCAGTGTATATGTTGATGATGTGCCTGACGAAAAGGAAGGGGAGTGTGTACAAGTGCGGATGTAAAGGTGAACAGTGAAAGAGGAAAAGTGAGAGAGAGAGAGAGAGAAAGAGAGAGGAGTAACGATATTAGTGAGCGGATGTCTGGAGGTTGAAAAGGAAAGCAGCTGCAAGGAGGTGGTAAAAAATATAAAGTGAATTGCTGTTGTTGAACAGTAATATCATCATCGTCCATAATTCATTTTCTCGGCTATTCTATCCTATTGCATACACACATGTACATGTACCTAGATTTGCCTCTTTTTGTATCATTCACCGTGCCTGCCATCATCACCCATGTTCCAGGCTCAATCCATCACCATAGCTTTTTTGTCTCTCGCTTTGATTGTCATGTTACACAACCTCCCTTCCTCGTGCCCGACATTTTGCGGTACGCCACCTGCCTTGCTTATCTCATCCAATAAAGAACGTTCAGCAAATAGGGTCGAATATTGTACGCCATAAAGGGTGCTTTTTGCATTGCTTGCTGTCTCATCTTGATGCCATCACTTTTCTTCTTCAACATGACAAAGGTCACAAGAGTCTACTCATTTCTTTGTAAATGAATACAAAATTATTAACCAATTCCAATTCTCTTGTTAATTGCTTCGTGCATAAGGCAAATCTCGTGCAACTACATGTATAGCATGACAATGACAACAAATGACCTATTCACAAACAAGGCATAAACCTGTTCCACCCTGACTATTTCTGTGTTAGCTGTTGCATGTTCCCCAAAACCATGTCCATTCGGATGATAAATGTTAATCTCCATATGTCACCTTCCCTGTCTTCAAATACCAGACTTGGAAATTTATCCTCCTACTCTCTTTTAGTGCGTAGTTTACCCAGCATCCAAAAGCAGATGATTTAGCTGATAGACTATTGTTGACATTCAATGACCCTATTGAAGCCGTACAGCTCATCCACATGCACCTATTTAAATGCATGATGCAATGCTCAGGAAAGCTGCTCATTAAGCAAACATACCGATCCATCGATAACCATGTGAGGGGAAATCACAAGAGCAACAACACGTATATAATCCTTTCAATGATCCATAATGCGAACCTTTGTTAATTTTACCTGTGATGGTCAATAATGCTCACACGTTTTCTTTCAGCAAGGGGAGGTGATCATCAACTTGGCCTCAATACTCAATTACAGGAGGACAAAGAGCAATAAGATGGCTCATTGTTATGAACAATGAAACCCAATCATGCAAAGTAGATAAAGAAGAATGGTGATGTCGCGTGATGGTTTCATTCAAGCCCTGATTCCATTGGCTCCGTGGTGGTTTTATTTCATTCAACCAAGTATACAGGCTTCATTCAATCTCAGTACTTCTTGTCTCTTTCATTTTTCTTTCTTCCCTGTCAACGCGACACGATGGACACCACCTCAGACTTGTTGAAAGTGTGCAATGAAACCAGAGAAATCGTTGCCAATATCCTTAAAGGAAAACGACCATTGAAGAGAACCATCGAGGAGACAGCGGACTCGTCATTGCCCAACGATGCTCAGTTACCGTAAGCACTTTTTAAGTCTTTATTGGATCTTCCTTACTCACTACTACTATTGCTTCTTCATTCATGCAGAGACAAACGATCTAGAAACGACTACGATATTCACCCATCAGAAAACGGCAATGACGACACCCAAGTGCGTTTGACACAGGCGTATGATCGAGCCAAGTTTTATGAACGGCTGGAGACTTTCGCAGACGCCTATATTGAAAACAAACGCCCTCTCACTGCCATTCAATGTGCCATGCATGGATTTGCTGATACACATCAACTGGAAGGGCCCAATCATGATATTGCCAAGCTCGAGTGCGTGGATTGCAAAGGCACCAATTACGTGATCGATATCTCCAATACGGATGAGCAATCGGTGCGATGTACGTGTTCTTTGTATGTGAATGAGTGAGGATGATATTGATTGAGCATCTTTATAGTGAACCAAGTGGTTGAAAAGTATACCTCTGGACTATATACCTTTCATCGTGATGGATGTTTTTGGAGAGACAATGCATGTCCAGGTAAAGAACAAGTTGGGGGTGGGAAGGCATGTTGGCAAGCCAAAGCACTGACGCACGATGTTTCCATAGCAACCATTTATTCATTTCCCAAACTATCTACTGTGGAAGCACTTGACATGATGCGCAAAAGTGGTCGTGAATGGCTACAATCGGGTGTGCGATTACCCAAGATTATTCATCCTTTGGTGAGTTGATCAACTTGTAGTAGTGTCATCGTCATCATCAGTTGCTGACCATCATCCAATGTTCTAGAATTCACGACAATCGACACAGCTTGATTTCCTCATTCGAGACTTTCAGAATCCTGGGGACCGTTACAAGTTTACGATTTCGCTGCCAAGTGACTTGTGCGATGCCGTGGGGACATCCTATCTTTTGCCCGTGTTTGGTTGGCATTATGCAGAGCCGAATATCATAAAGTGCAAGGATTGTTTCCGGAAAAAGAACTTGCATGAATTGGCTGCCCTTGAGAGTTCTTTCAATGTGGTCAAGGAACATCGTGACTATTGCCCATGGGTCAATTGCAACAATGCTCATGTTGAGCCACCCCAGCCTACCCCCTTTATGCGACAATTATGTGGATACGAATGGATGTTGGCGGCTGTGGACCTTGAATATGCACTGCTATTGAGAATGCAAGAGGAATCTCCTGTATACCAAGCTTCCCGAGAACAGTGGTTCATTGATGAGCAAAAACGGATGGAAAAGTTGCGTGAAACATTGGATCGTGAGTTTACAGTATTTTCACAGCAACCAGAATCACCACCAGCACAACCTTCAGAGGAACATGCACTGCCAACGATTGCCGTCACCGATGAACAGCCACATATTGAGAAGCCATCAGAAGAGGAGGCTACAACGACATCACCTGCTGCACAACCACAACCACAACCCTCTCCTTCGCCTGAGAAACAAGATGAGGATGATCTTGGTGAATACCTTGAATCAGAAAACGAGGCTGAGGAGGAAGATGTGAAAGAGCCAGCAGCTGCAACAACGACAACGACAACAACTGTACCTGAGAATAAGGAGGAAGAGGAGGTTACCAAGCAACCAGAGTTTGAGGATGAGGAAGAGTTGGATGAATCGTTGCTTGAGGAAGTTGGTGATGTCACTGAACCAGAGCAGACTGAGGAGGATTACAAGTTGATGGAAACGACTGCTGTGAATGAAGAACAAGGCGAAAAGATGGATGTGGATGAGCAAGAATCGACTGCTGGTGCTGGTGCTGGTGATACACCACTTCATTTGGATACATTGGAAGATCATGATATGGAAGAGGTGACGCCGGCAGCGACTGAGACTGAGCCAGCTGAATTGGGCCAAGCGATTGAGACTACCACCATTACCCCACCCTCCATTGCGGAAAAGGAAGATGGCGAAGTTACATCGGTCACTGAAGAGCCAATAAATCAGGAGGAGAATGCGTCTACCGCTGCTACTATTGATATGGCAGCTGAAGAATCAAGCGAGGCACCATTGGATGTTGCAACAGAGGCAATTGATAAAAGTGAACAGCCAACTACATCTACAACGGATGCTCCTACTACAACAACAACAACAAATGAGGATGAAAAGTCAACTCAAGTTACCGAAGCTGCTAGTACGGATGAAATTACTGCCATGGAAGAAGAGGCAGCAGCGGCTGATGAGGAAGAGGCAGGATTGATTGAGACACCAAAGGATGTTTTGCAGGGTGAACCAGATTCGGATGTACAAACACCTCAACATGATCAAACGCTATCAGCTGAAGACGAGTTGAAGGAATTCGCCGAATCTCCATTGCCTACAACCGCTGAGGAAAAGCAAGACGTAGGCGATACAACCACTCACGCTGATATCAACACTCCATCACAAGGCGAGGAACCTGAAACTCAAGTGCCAATGCCTGATGATGCTCAAGCCGAAGAAAAGGAGCATGAGGATGTTACCCTTGATACAGCAACACCACAAAACGAGGAGGAAACAATAGCCGAGACAAAAGAGTCAGCTGAATCGACAACCGAAGCAGCACAGCCCAATCAAGATGATTTGCTTTTGGAGGAGGATGATCAAGAGCTGGTACAAAAATCAGAAGCAAAAGAGGCATTGGATGTTGAACCTGCCGTGCAAGATGATGGTGTCAGTACCCCCATGGATCTCTATATTGAAGAAGAAGGATCAGGGAACGTTACAGAATCTACTGCTCCAGAGACATCTAAAAATGTTGAAGCTGATGCTCAAAAGGTTGTTGACAAGGGCGAGCAGCTTTTGGAAAAAGAAGAGGAGGAGCCGCTTGTCAACAAAGAGAATGAATCGATCGTGGATGAAAAGAAAGAGGAATCACTTGAGAATAAGGAGGATGGATCGATTGAGGGCCACAAAGAGGAATCACCTGCGAACAAGGAAGATGCATTGGTTGAAGAAAAACAAGATGAAGGTCTTGTGGATGAAAAGAAAAGCGAGTTGAACATTGAAAACGAGCCTACTACCATCACCACAGCAAAGGGTGAACAAGTCGTGGAGCAGCAACCGATTGTGGAAGAGCCAAGCGCTAAGGAGGAGACACCAGCCAATGTGCCTGAGACGACGGCTGATAACAGCAACAACGATGCACAGCCCACAGTTCCTACCGTGACAGTCGTTGAGGAGCAAGAGGATGATGGTGATCATAGCGTAGTGCCTGTTGCCAATGCTGGAGCCATGGATGAATTGCATGCGAGTCAACCACAGGCTGAGCAAGATATCGACACGCCCACTCATGTTGAGGAGGACGACACTGCTATCGTGCATGATGATCAGCAAAAGAAAAAAGAGCAGCCGCAACAAGAAGATGCCGAGATGCAAATTGGTGACGCTGGTCAAGCGCAGGATAATAATGGTAAGTGTAGCATCACTTTTTATTCTACTTGACTCACAAAGTATTATAGTAGATGACGGTGAAAAGGGTGATGCGATGGATGAGGTGGAGGTGGAAGTGCATGAAGTACCAGATAGCGTAGGAGAGAAGAAGGAGTTGGAGGAAGAAGGTATGGTCAACAAGGAAGGTACAAGTAATGTAGAAAGGGAAGAGACTAGTGTGGAGAATCGAGAGGAGAACCAACAAGATCAAATGGAGATGTGAAACGACCGGTGAATGGTAAGTGTGCTTTGATCAAACAGGCCAAATCCTTTATTCTTACGCAAATGTTTATAGTGCATGTATACCATAATACCATTTTTTCCCCATCCAAAAATTTGTAAATACTCTTTCAGCTGCTTGTAATAATACATGGTTACATCCCCCAAATCATACATACAAAGGATTCCTGATGTTTATTGTTTTGATCGCAAGACATATGATTGAGATGATGTGGTGTTCGTTGCCTTGGAGAGTACTAGCAGCCCATCTTCAGTGATTCTTCTATGTAGGATCTAAACGCAAAGACTATGTAAGTGTTCGTTTAAAAAGGAGGAGTTGTTGGCATCTTCATAATCGATAACCAATAGTACACAGTATACTCATTTATGCAGGAACCTGTCGATGTGTGTAACCATCACGTGTATTTCACGCCGAGGGCAGTTTGCCTATCAATCCGCAGGAACAGAACCATCACGCTACTTATGTACATGTCAACCCCACTTTACACCCTCCCATTCAAGATTTTATAATGAAGTATAGCATGTCCAAGAGCACATTGTGTGGAAGTTTCAGGTTCGAGAGGGGCAACCTCAATACCAAGGTTCGATGTATAGCGTTCATGCATTGATACAAGAGGTGCCCGGCAGCTCAACCTACTTAAATTTCCACTCCCTCCACTCCCACAACTTCTTGTCTCCTCCTCCCATGTTGGCCCACTCAAGTACAATTACCAGCTACAAACGATTGTCCTGCTTCAACCCATCATGTCAATCCTACCATTGTCTTGATCCGATTGTCTTTGACTGAATGGCAAGTCCATGGCGTGTGCACCCCCACTACAACAACACTCGCGTTTCTTCATGACACTACACCTTCTCTTGTACAATCCTTGAACAACACCAAGCGTAACAGCGTTCATTCGAGTGGTTGCAATTAGCAAGTCTTTTCTCTCGTATGGTGTTCACAACCTTGTCGCTCTACTACAATACACGCTCTTGCACACCCTTCTGCCACAGCCAAAGATAACAACATTCATCCAGCAGTTGTTATTAGCAATGCCTTTGCTCTGTTGTCTCAAACAGCGTTCTTTACTTGAAGCAACTTGTCTTCCATCCCATTTTACGTGGACAGCAGATGGCCATTGTGTAGAAGCAGCTTTATTTACGTGCAGCAACTTGCTTTGATGGATATGAACTCCTATGGATGATGCCATATCACCTATCAGATGCAGCGAAATAGAAGCAAATCTTCACCTGGTTGAGCAGCGATCACAGAGGCTCTTTCTTATTGGACTTGAAATGGTTATGGATGGATGGATGGATGGAATCAAATGCAGTGATCTGGAATGGTGCTTTGATTACTCGGCACGTCGCCAGCAGGAAGGAAGGATCATATCACGTGGATACGGCTAGGGATGGTGACGGCATGGATGGCGTGGATGAGAGGAATTGTATCTTTGACGAAAGGCGGTTTGGCCCCATCGATGACATTGGATATTGGAGTCAAGGCACGCGTAGCAACTAGTTTGCAATCATGGATGATGTTGTTTATGACGGCAGCAATCAAGGATACAATGACACAATGACACAATGGTTTCTAGAATGGAAGGGAGGATCGAAATTCGAAGGTTGGAAAGGGAGATTGGGATCATTACATCATTGTATCGAGACCTTTTCGTTGCTTTTATCACATTACATTCGTTAAAGAAGCTTCCTTGTTCATATGCTGATAGACGATGGGCAGGATTGTACACATGTTTAATTAGACGCTTGTATTTCAACGATAATAATAAACCCATAGTAATGGCACCCAACAATAATGCCTCTTTCAAATGCTTGATCCATTGAAAGCCTAAATCATAACGCTTTAAAAGAGTGAGCTCTGATACAATAATGTGGGACGAGTGCGTACACATGCCTACCTACGACAATCTTGAGGAATGCCATCGCGTTGTTGAGCTGAATGCGTGATTACCGTTGTTGCTAAGATGGTGTAGCTGTGAAATTGGATATGGATTGCTTGGCGACAAGGCCTGGATCTTTGGGAAGGGGGAGGTTTCACAGGCAGCAGGACAAAATGGTCGGTCGCACAAATCACTTCACAACTCACATCGTCGTCACATGTCAAATCGGTGCTGTTGACGCGTTTGACAGGTTGACTGCAGCAACTTCGCCTATGTGCTTCTGTCAATATTATCACTTTATCTCGTCAAGAGTCATTCACTTTCACAACACGATCATTTATCGTTCTTGTCACAATTTGCTTTAATGCGCAGCACATCCAGAGATGCATGTAGTCATGCCCACGCATTTGAAGAGGAGTGGATAAAGTAGATTAGAAAAGGGTGGGAATATTTCTTATCATGAAAGTGTAAACAAAGGCTTCTTTGTTATCGACTTTTACGTATCCCCTTCAATCAGTGCCCATTTTTCTTCGAGTGCCACTACTCAGATAACAAAAAACAAGAATACAAAGAACCAGCACTTTTCGTTTCAATCCTTGGATATCTCAATAACAATTCATGGTTGTCGTTAGAGTTGTTCCATTTTTTAATAACATGCACCACATCTTTTACCAATTGACCGGATTTCATGTACTGCGCGTTGTGTAACGAGTGGGCGTGATCATATGTGGTGTAACAAGTGGACGTGATCATTTTGATTCTGGACGCATACTGTAAAGCGCATGTATTGCTCCAACCAATATTGAAATCTCGGTACAAGCTGCTCATGAAGAACGCGCACCTAACTAAAATTGGGTTGTGCCAATAGCTGCATCAAGTTCCTGCGATACCCAACTATCGGGAAGTTTCGTTTATTTCTACTTTCGCTTACACGCACTTTTTCCTTTACTTTAACAACCACCATTATCACTATACAAGATCAACATGTTATAACTTTAGAAAGGAAACGCGTACATACGGGCACCTGTATGTGTGTGGTGTGTGTGTGTGTGTCAATGGGACGATGGGACAAAGACGAGAAAGATCATGGATAAAGAAGTTCGCTGGTTACACAGACCCATGACCATTGTTCTGAGAGCCGCCACTTCTCATTTATAAAAACGCCCTTTTTCCGCAGCATTTGATTGCCCCAACTCTTTCGTCCTTTTCACACTTTTACGATGCTTTGGCCCAAGTAAGTTGCTTTTTACATTTCTTGTCACTTGTTTTGCTCACATTGTCATGTTGTTTATAGGGACAAGGGATGGACCATTATTGCCGCCCCTCACCAGCCCGGTTTCCACACAAGGCTTCCATGAATCCCAGCAGATCTTGATACGGAGGTAGCAAGGATGTTGGCCATTCCTCGTAAACTGGCTGCCCACTACGTGTCGGCGTGTTGTATGGGCGTTTGGCCGAGGACGAAATGCAGACCGGTAGCAGTGTCCAGGGTGCACTAATAAAAGACCGCTATCCAAAGATACCAACAAGTGGCTCTTGTTTGGGTAATGCTAAAGGATTCATTGGAAGGAAACTAGGAGGGAAGATAAGTATTCTTACACCTATTTCCTCTCGCTGACAAGAAACATGCTACACTTTCTATCTCAAAGACACAAGCATGGTTTCTTCCAAACGAGGTTTTGGCGCGTCAAGTCCCGGCACCTTAAAGTGGTTACAAGCGCCTCGTCGACCTGGAATTGGTGCCTACAGGTAGAGGTTGGGGATGGTTGAGTAGCGACCTTCACGTTGGTCATCCCTGTGAGTACTTTAGCCTTGGCTTTAGGAAACCAACAGCTACTTGTTTATTCTAGTATTGTAATCAATAAACCATGTTCTTTGATTAAACATCTATTCCTGTCTTTGCATGTTTGATAACGCACTATCAAGTAGCATTTGATTGATCTTGTATGTAATTGAAAATGATAATCCATGATCCTAGTGATGCTGTTATGGTGTGCTCATCTTATCTATCCACGTTGTCGTGGTATCGATGCCATCATTACCAAGTTTCATTCCATGCATTGTTTTATATGTAACCAAGTCTCTAATTTTTATCCCGCAACTAAGACACAATGCTGTTGAAATCATCCAAGTGGAACAGCTGCCCACATCAATCATTAAGTTACTGTAGTAGTAGCCTTTGCGAGATGCATCATCATTACGCTTGATCCACATGAAAAATAGAGTGCTTGTCCTTATTACAAGACCGATCACAGAGCCACTTTTATTATCCCATCATCTAAGCTATAATCCACAAGCAACAATAAGGGAATAAGCTACATAGATGATTGTGTGTACATGTTGATGGGGGTCACTCATCCTGAAACTCAATGGAGGGATCACTTCACTTTATCTCTTCTCAAGGTCATCCCACTTCCCACCCCTCTTATTGTATCACAAAAGTCATATACTTCTTGCATGACCGATAACCGGAACCACCTTTTTTATTCCATCTTCGAAGCAATAGTATGTAATCCACAAGCTAGCAAAGTCCAAGCGTATAATATATAAACAATGCTTTATTGCATCTAGCTACATTGCCACGATCCTCGTCTTCGTCCTCCTTCATCATTCGTACTCGTACTCGTCACCAGTCGTCATCTCATCGTCACCCAATATCAAGAAACACACAAGTTGAAGAGAATGGGATCTTGCAGGCTTCCTTTTGGATCTCGTTGTCGTTATCATTTTCATTGTTGTGGATGAGGTGATAATCGTAATCGTCATTGTTGTGAATGTCGTTAACATCGTAACCGTCGTCTCTATAAATAAGAAAGCAGGCAAATTAGACCATCTGGTACCAGGATGATGACTAGGCGACAGCAATACATGATCCCATATCTACCACAAGGCCAGGGAGTAACAGTCTGACTTCCAACGGTTAAGGCAGTACTCATTAATACAATTGATACGGCCAAGATAGGGCTGACCACGCTGACGCATGTAAATCATAGCTGCCAACGATGCTTTACACAAATGAGCAAGGCACCATCCCGTTCTACCCATAGCAAATAAACATCCGCCATATCAGTAGTAGCTGCCATCAAGCGACCTTCGTGGTAGGCGTCATCAGAGAGACACATCATGCACTGCAACAAATAAATCCGGTCTTGATGAAATAGCATACGCGAGGATATTGACTTGCCAAGAGAACGTCCAAGGTATCCATACAAGTACTCGAGGAATGAGACCCGCCATGGCACCGATAAAAACATTGCTCTGAAGATCCACCGATAAAGAGACGACTTGCAGGTAGCTGATTTCCAAAACCATGGAAACGGTATCCTTGACAACCATAATTATAAGATAGAGATCGCTTGCCTGCTTCTGAGACACCCACCCAAATTCAAATGTTGATCTTCGTCTTCCAATTCAATAGGATTCGCCACTGACAACAGTAAGGAGAGACTTTGATGGCACCAAAGAGCATGCGAAATTAGAGCTTGATGGAATGATGGGCCTATAAAAATGCATACAGTATCATTAATCTATCTTTGAGGTAATGGTAACAATACTTAGCCAGTGTAATTTGAGAATCCACGATGTTTGATGCCACCCAGTAACCAGAACACATTTCCTTGTTGTAGAGATGTCGACGCAGTGACCAGTTTTGATAGCCGTTTCTCCCACCGATACTTGATGATGAATGCCATGAGAGATGGATACACCTTGACAGCACCAAAAGGTCACGTAACATTGTTGTTTGTTGCTGATGTGATACATCCATAAGATACGTGCGGTGAAGAGGGCTCTTGAAATCAATTAGCCAATAGCGAGAACCATCGAACAATGTAATAAGGCAAGCTGACACTGAAGGATGCTGTAGACGTTGCTCCTTAACCTTGGCATGATTCACCTATAAAAGATGCACGGTAAACAGTTTCCCGAACCGATAGAACGATACTTAGCAATGATAGCTGCATCCATGAAAATCCCAAAGGACCAAGAGACAAGTAACTCGCTGAATAGCCCACATGCTAAGATAAAAGAGGAGGTTGGCAGGCGTTGTAAAAACGAATGGATCAACAATTACCAATGGTAGTCATATGAATGAAACCCTGTCGACATCCAATGACAGCAGCATCCATAAAGAATCCAAAGGGAACAAGACAAATAGCTCGCTGAATAACACACATGAAAGAGGGTGTTAGTAGGCATTGAAAGAAAGAATGGACCATTATTTACCAATGACAGCCTCATCCATGATGATTCCAAAGGACCAGAAGACAGGTAGCTTCCTGGTTATCCAACGTACTATAATAAAAGAGGAGGTTGGCAGGCGTTGAAGAAATGAACGGATCACCATTTACCAATGATATCCATATGCACGAAAACATGTCGACATCCAATGACAGCTGCATCCCTAGTAATCCCAACGCACCAGAAGACATGCAGCTTGCTGAATAGTCCACATACCATAATAAAAGAGGAGGTTGGCAGGTGTTGAAGAAATGAACGGATCATCACTTACCAATGATAGCCATATGCACGAAAAGATGTTGAATCCAATGACAGCTGCATCCATGAAAATTCCAAAGAACCAGAAGACAAGTAGCTTGTTGAATAGCCCGCATACTATAATAAAAAAGGATGTTGGTTGGGATTGGAGCCAAAAAACGGATCATCCTCTATTTACCAATGATAGCCATATGCGCGAAACCTGCTGATATCCAAATCAAGCCGATTCTTTGCAATCGTCCGCTTGTTGGTAAGACCCGCTACGTTGGCACTCGGATTGTAAGCGATGGAACGATACTTGATAGGAATATACAGTGAGACGGTTGAGTAATACTTGTACCACCAAAGATAGAACACTTACATGATGCCGAAGAGCCCTTACAAGGAGCGAGAACGAACCAATGTGCCGCCCAAGACCACATGCAAATCGAAAAATCATCAATCGAAAAGCCCAAACCAGCAACCTAGCTGCGGAAGGGAGTACACTCAGTGATATAGCCGATATGAATGAGATACCAATCCTTTTTCATTGGGTATGGAATGCAGCTTGACGATGGAGTCCTTGACGAGATGCATGAATGACCTTGGTAACACAAAAGATTTGATTGCGGGCTTTCATTGCTTGTTGATGACATGATCCATCCATACGACACGTATAGTCGTAGAGATCCATCAAAGGAATCGCCAATAACCAGAAGCACCAAGAGATAGAAAGGTTGCAGATATCAAAGATATACAAGTTGTTCCTTGCTGCTGATGTGATCAATCGATAAGAGACCTTCATTTCAGGATGCCCACCGAATTGCCGATAACGAGAAGAACCAGATGATGGGATAAAGCTTGATATGACACCAACGATATGGATGCTGCTACTTGTTGCTGATAGAATCCACTCACAAGAGGCTTGCATTGGCGGACACTCTCCTGGAGAAATCGCCCGTTGACTGGTAACCAACCACCAGAGACGCAATAAAGCTTGACGCCACCAAAAGACATAAACACTTCCCCATGGCTGACATGATTCACCTATAAAAGATGCACCATAAACAATTGTCCAAACTCATCCAACAATACTTAGCAATCATAGCTGTGATCTTGTAAACTCCAAAACACCAAAAGACAAGTAGCTCTCTGCAATGGTCCCTCTAAATAATAATGGTACGCGTTTCAGCAAAGGTCTCCAAAAAGCATGAGAGTCATACGTACCTGAATCACGCAATCATTACCCGCATACTTGGAACCAAATAGGCCATCAGGATGTAAAGTAATAATAAAAGCGCACAGCCAAAGAAACGTCATAGTACCGGTACTCTCCTGTGGATCGACGCGATGAAGTGCATCAATAGAGATACCATCTTCTCTCTAAAGGCAAGGAGATCAATAGCCGTAAAACGATGGAGCAGTGCGAACAGAGGATGCATTTTTAAATCCATGAGGCCGCAACATGAGTTGCACTGTCTCCGGGCACAACATGTAGAGCTCCACAGGAAAGTACAGTACAATGACGTCCTTGACGTGCAGCCGTGATAATAATAGCATCGCCGAAAGAGGATCTGCCACTGTATGGCGTTTGGTAAGTCCACTTGAATCCAACCAACCCCATCATAATGAACACTCTTACCTTGTGGTATTTCTCAATAGCATCTTTGCCTCCAATGAAAACCGTATATCCATGCCATCCAGTAGGTGCCGCTGCTGTTTCATTGCAAGGCTCGTTAATTAGCATGTTTTGCTTTGTAGATCCGATACCACGCATATCATTGAGCCAACCATACCGTATTCTTGCTTTGAGATCCGTATCCTGTTGCTGCCAGAGGTACCATCATCCAACATGTTCAACCTACCATAAACGCAACGTGAGATAACAAGTAAAACCAATCCACACGCTTTGTTGTCACCATACCCAAAAGAAGCAATGTAAAGACGTCTTGAGAACTCTCATTGTGGACAACTCGGTAAGGAAGGCACACGACGCCGTGAACCATGGTGATCACAAGGAATTGCAACCAAATACACCATCCGAAGGCAATTCAATAATCAACCTGCAGCGCCAAGGTATGCCATCATATGTACTATACTCTCATTGGATCCTGAAATTGGCATCATAAGAGATATCCACCTTCTCTCTGTAGGCAAGGAAATCAATAGCCGTACTTGGATGGAGGCCGTGTGCACAGCGGATGCCTTTTCAAATTGGCCTTGCCATCGCATCTTGAGTCACACTGTTTCCGGGCCAAAATTCCCCAGGAGAGCACAGTACTATACAATGACATCCTTGACGTGCTGATTGATCAAAATAGTATCGCCGAAAGAGGCTCTGCCACTGTATGGCGTTTGGTAAGTCCACTTGAATCCAACCAATCCCACAATGAATCTCTTACCTTGTGGTATTTCTCAATAGCGTCTTTGCCTCAAATAAAACCGTATATCCATGCCATCCAGTAGATGCTGCTGCTGTTTCATTGTAAGGCTCGTTAATTAGCAGGTTTTGCTTTGTACATACAATGCCATCCATGCATACCATTGAGCCAACGTACAGCGTTCTTCCTTTGATATCAATGTCTTGTTGCGGCCACAGGTACCATCATCCAACGTATTCAAGCTGCAGTAAATGCAATGTAAGGTAACAAGGATAGCATTTGCTTTTCATGTCGACATACCCAAAGTAACAATGTCTCCTTGATGACAACCATGAAAAGAACACACACGACACACGACGTCCCCTTTGGAACTTGTATAACGAGAGAACAGCAAACTACACGTGAACTTTAGAACCACAATGTCCAACTTGAATGCAGCGATTGAACGTACATGTTGTATTGCAATGGAAGCTTGAGTCATGGGCAGATCGCGCGCGTACTTGCTGTTGAATGTCTGCAGCTGGAAAGTGTCGCCATTGACCACATGTTCACCCCAATGAACGCTGTACATTGGAAGGAATGCCAGCAATTAACGTGTTGTAGTTTGTAAATGGAGACAAGCTTACCTTTTTTTGTGAAGTAGAAGTGAAGAAGAGTGGTCTCTTTGTTCCTCCTGTTCTCTCCAATTCGTGCACCCCATGGCACCCCGCTTGCTACAGCTATTACTGTTTATACGTACCCTCCACAATATCCTATGCTTTTAGCTCCATAAGAATGATCACTGCTCAAGGCTTCAATTGAGAACAGCCCTCGTAATTAAGCTATTTGGTCTGTGCGCATCACATAGATCGATTAGTTATGCAGCTCCACTCTGAACCAACTTGTGTAACCTACTGTGTAACCCCTACCAAATACATG